AACTTACATGTATGAGAACAAACCTATTTTTAATGCTAAAATTTATGAATGCGTCTGTGGGGTCGACCGCTGGATGTAATGGACTTGAGTCGAGGACAGGCAGTGAACCACAACGGTGTAAATGCTTCACCCGCGTACTACAAATACAAATAATCCCAGCCCGTCCTCCAAACAAAGATCCAAAAGTGATTCCATGCACCCGCCAAACCCCCTGTTTATGAATGAAAAGCGGTTTACACACGACTCGCAACTGCTGACGTTCGAACATATCCGGAACAAGTGCTTCACTGACGAATTTTGTTCGAATCGCAACGCTATAAATGCTTCACCCACGTACTACAAAAACAAATAATCGCCAACAGAACCTAAACACCTGACCTAACCTATCCTATGCCTATATATACACAATATGCCAATATATTTTAATATTAATTTATACTTGAGAAAATTCCCGTTTTGAATGAACAGCATGTTAAAATTTATGAATGCGTCTGTGGGGTCGACCGCTGGATGTAATGGACTTGAATCGAGGACGGGTTGAATAATCCCCAACAGAATCTGAACACTTAAAATAACGTAATCAATATCTAAATATGTACAATATGATAATATAAAATAATATTAATTTATATATGAAAAAATTCCTCTTTTGAATGAACAGAATGTTAAAATTTATGAATTCGTCGTTGGCGTCGACTGCTGGAGGGAATGGTCTTAATTGGTCTCAGGCACTTGGGCTGGACGGTACAGCGACGGTCTCGCTTCATGCAGGTCGGCGTTCAATCCCAGACCGTCCAGGTGATTAGGGCACCATTCCTTCCCCCCGTCCCATCCCAAAGCCTTATCCTGACCCCTTCCCAGTGCTATATAGTCATAATGGCTTGGCGCTCTCCCCCTGATAGTTCAATTCAATTCAATTCAGTACGGGGTGTGGACTAAGAAAATTGAGCCAGAGATAAATCACATTACATGAAATGGCAAACCATCTTGTTACTAAGGATAAATTACCTGAAATCCTTGCACTGTATCCATATTTCGCTTCCAGTAGATAAACGACATATAAGATTAAGAAGCAAGTAGTGTATTGTGAAGACTAATAATAACAAACATTAGCTCCCATATGACTGTAATATCTCCATAGCTAAAACAATTATGTATTAGGGATAAAACCTACCATTAATGTATAATGATTAACTGTAAATATATAGCTATTGAAACAGAACATTCTCTGTAGCTAACATTATAAATATAAAGTGTGAAGGATAGATGAAATTGTTAATGTAATAATCTCCGTTGAGGTCTGATAAAGACCTTTTATGTCCTCTGTAATCCTTTTTGCGCTACCGCTCACAAGATGAGTATGGGGTGCACTATAAACTAGCCGACTCAGGCGGCAACAATCAATCACTGGGCGGGACAGAAATGGTTGGGCACATTTTTTTTTTTTTTTTTTTTTAGATATATACAAGAGTTGTTACATTCTTGTACAGCCACTAGTACGCGTAGCGTTTCGGGCAGGTCCCTGGAATACGATCCCCTGCCGCGAAGAATCGTTTTTTCATCCAAGTACACATTTTACTGTTGCGTTAAACAGAGGCTACAGTTAAGGAATTGCGCCCAGTAAATCCTCCCCGGCCAGGATACGAACCCATGACATAGCGCTCGCGGAACGCCAGGCGAGTGTCTTACCACTACACCACGGAGACTGCATTTCCTTTCGCTTAATCAATTTGTTCATCTAGCAGTAAGCAGGTCCCCAGGAGATAGTCAGCTTGTTGTGGGGTTGCATCCTGGGTAGGGATAGGGAGGGACTTATGAGGGGAAAGCACAAGCCATTACGACTATATAGCACTAGGTAGGGGGGGGGTCAGGATAAGGATTTGGGATGGGACGAGGGGAAGGAATGGTGCCCAACCACTTATGGACGGTCGGGGATTAGGGGGGGGGGGAGGACCTTGATATAAGCCAAACGTGTATGAATACACTCTGAACGCACATATATTTCGTAGATGTATTCACCTGGAGGGACTCCACACCTATAATTATGTTTTTAATGCAGCAAATATTGCTAATTGGTATTAGCAATATATAAATCGCATTTTCACTAAATGCATGCAGTGATAATATTAATAAAAACAATAAAATCGCGCGGGGTACTGTATGTTTTAAAATAAATTGAGCAGTCTCCGTGGTGTAGTGGTAAGACACTCGCCTGGCGTTCCGCGAGCGCTATGTCATGGGTTCGTATCCTGGCCGGGGAGGATTTACTGGGCGCAATTCCTTAACTGTAGCCTCTGTTTAACGCAACAGTAAAATGTGTACTTGGATGAAAAAACGATTCTTCGCGGCAGGGGATCGTATTCCAGGGACCTGCCCGAAACGCTACGCTTACTAGTGGCTGTACAAGAATGTAACAACTCTTGTATATATCTCAAAAAAAAAAAAAAAAAAAAAATGCATATTACTTTGAAAGCCGTATGAATCACTAAACAGAATATTGGGCTACTTTTATTACAAATACGATCATCACGACAAATGGGGGAGGATGACCTACGACAAGCCGCCGGCTTCCTGACCTCATCGAGGTAATTAGTGGTAGTGGTCCTCGCGTAAATTCAGGTAAACTCGCTACATTTAGCCGGTCTGGTCGCTACTTTGAGCATTTGAGCTGTAGCGGCGGCAGGGTTGCTAGATTGGGCTAAAAGTAGCGAATTATGCTACTTTTGAAAGCAACGCACTTTAATTTCGCTACTTGCTACTTTTTGGGCTAATTTAAAAGCAAGTTGCGCTAATTTGGGCTATTAATGTTAAGAAACTCAATGATGATTATTTATGCTTTTATAATGTAATGTGTACAAATCACAGCTGCATCCGGCCCCATTGATTAGACCATTTACCACAGGAGGCTTAGTCAGAGACCGGCCCCTTGGAGACGTTGATCCTAGGAACCTTTAAAAGAAAAAAAGTAATCGCAAGGGCAGGTAACCCTCCGCAGGAGCTATAGAGTTCCCAACCTTTTTAATTGTCATTAATACTTCATCCCAAAAGTTAAAGCTAGTTCCACATATCTTAATTAAAGAGAGAATGTTATCTATAAATTTACAGATTGATAAATGATGGGAAAGATCCCTTACAGTTAATACCTTTTGAAGACGATGGTTGGAAAGGAGCGGTAGTGTAAAGTGGCTGTTAGATCAGTGGGATTCTCTAACAACTCATTACCAAATCGCTTCTTGCTCTTTTATTTATTTATTTATTTATTTATGCATATACAAGAATGTACATAAGGAATGTGAGGATACAAATATGGTAATTACAGTCTTGTAAAGCCACTAGCACGCGCAGCGTTTCGGGCAGAAACTCTCGGGCTCTTGTGATAAATATGTTGCACGGCAACTATTTTCAATGTACTCTGATCCCGCCAATAAGCTATATTTCACATTTCTCAAACTAATCCTAAATGATTTTGAAATGATGAATTTACTTTATCAAAAATATGAAGCAGATCAGTGTATTCTTCATACTGACTTACTAAACTCTCTTGGAATGCTCTGAAGAATCGTGCATCCTCATTATGCTAATTAGGACTACAGTTCCATATATCTGTCCCTGGAGAAAGTGGACTTTAGTTACGAATGTTCAACAATTTTGGCAATTAACAGACAAAACAAATTTATAACCGAAGAAAAGTTTCAAATATTCAAGAAAGATGCCATAATTTTTTTAGTGAAAGCTTGCAAAGAGCTTCTTTCTCGTATTTCTAGTAATGCTGAAACTTTCAAAAAGGAGAAAAATCTGTCACCTGTCATATACCGTAGCCACACACGGCCACCATTTTCAGAACTTCCATTAGTACTAGCTGACCAATCTAAGCTTAGTGAAATTGAAAGTCAGTGGCGCCTACTGTTAACCATTAACTGGGCCAACATTTGTAAGGGACAAATTCCAACATCTGGATCGTCATTTTGGACCAAGACAATAACTGGCAAGAACGCTGTTGGCGATCCCATACTGATTGACCTCGCTCAGTTTGCAATGAAACTATACAGCTTACCAATCAGTAATGCACGTAGCAGCACCGCTCCTGTGCCAGGTAAGTCCACTACGGGCTCACCATAGCCCGTGATACTTGGAACTTGTTCCGAGTAGCTGAATCTATTACAACAACAAGAGTAATGCCCTGGTTGAACGGGTATTTTCGAGAGTAATATCTGTGAAAACTAAACTGAGAAATCGAATGGGACTTGAGGTTTTGATATCAATCTTAAGAATCAAAACATATAATGAAGAAAACGCAACTTGTTACTCGTCGTTTGAACCGTTCATGTCAATGCTTAAATATGAGTCTGCAATATACAAGAATGATCGAGGTTGTGGATGCAGACGAAGAAGCTCTTGATGATCTTCAATCGTGAAGACGTGGAAGGACTTCACACCCATTATGCTTCATACAGTAAATATTGGTAAGTTTTATCATAGTTTTAAAATATATATATGCAGAGATAACATTAATAAAACAATTAAAATCGTGTTTGTGTACTCTGTATAGCAAAATATATTACTTTGAAACCCGAATCAGTCACTAAATCTCAATTAGTATTAAGTTTTAGTCTTAGTGTTTTTCCTGCCCGAAACGCTTTGCGTAATAGTAGCTTTAGGCATTGTATGTACTAGCTCTATCTATAAATCCGTCAACGTTTTGTATCTATGTATGTACTTTACCTGAATAAATATTTGTACTTGTATTTGTATTGAAATTGAAATAAGTTTATTGAGGTAAAATGCACACAAAGGGATGAGGTTGCTCAAGCTATTCTCACCCCGTTCAGTACATCGTGTTAATACATGTATAGACACACATCACAAGCAATAAACGTATTACCGAACATTCTGAGAGATAAACATATACATTTCCTTTTGTATTTGTATTTGTTATATAAATAAAAAAATTGGGCTACTCTTATGACAAATTCGTTACTTTTAGACCGTCAGTCCGCTACTTTCAGCAACTTGGAGGTGGCAACCCTGGCGGGCGGGCTGGTGTGTTGTGAGCAGCGGCAGCCATGGCGGACGTCCTCGACATTGAGAACGCTGAGGAGTTTGAAGTAGATGAAGATGGCGACCGTAGGTGTCCTTTCATAACATATATATATGTGTGTGGTACATGAGCGAGGTGCACAGACTTACATATAATACTATGGACGTGAAGCCTCTGGTGGTGGAACCTTCTCACACCTAGAGACGACTCGCATGTCTATTGCTAACAAATTATAAAAACAAAACCAAAAAGTTCCAATTAAGATAGCTTTTCGCCTGCACTTATTGTTTAGAATGATAGTTAATGCATTTAAGTGGTAGATAAGTTGGCGCACAATTGGGGGAAGGCCAGTATAAGGAAGTGAAAGTTGTCAGACAAGCGTAATGGGTTATAGAGCAGGGTAATGTTAGAATGGTTGTAATGGGTTATAGAGCAGGGTAATGTTAGAATGGTTGTAATGGGTTATAGAGCAGTATAATGTTAGAATGGTTGTAATGGGTTATAGAGCAGGGTAATGTTAGAATGGTTGTAATGGGTTATAGAGCAGGGTAATGTTAGAATGGTTGTAATGGGTTATAGAGCAGGGTAATGTTAGAATGGTTGTAATGGGTTATAGAGCAGTATAATGTTAGAATGGTTGTAATGGGTTATAGAGCAGGGTAATGTTAGAATGGTTGTAATGGGTTATAGAGCAGTATAATGTTAGAATGGTTGTAATGGGTTATAGAGCAGGGTAATGTTAGAATGATTGTAGTAGGTTATACAGTAGTGTAATCATGTTAATTGTGGTAATATGTTACATTAGTTGTCTGCTGCCAAGCTAAATTTCTGAGAGGAGCAGGTGTAACATCTGCTCACAAGTGCACTGGTTCAGAGAAGTGTGTCTAGTGTGCTTGAAGAATTGGCTGAATAATTAACATTTTACCCAATATGTATAATGGATACAGGGTGATGGTGGCCCTGAAATAGTAAGATACAAAATAATGTAATGCAAAATATATAAGCCTACCAATGGCATGTTATCCTATACCCTATGGGCCTGAAGCCAGTGTACCAGTAATTCATTGGTTAAAGAAAGGTTCATTATTAAAACAATTCTTTAATTACTCCTGAGAAAACAGTTCTTAATGGGATTAGGTTTGCTCCATTATTTACAGAACGGTTTTTTAACAAGTTGTCGTTTTGCTAACTTGTAAACTAAGCTAATTGGCTAGCCCTAACCAAACATATCCATGCCTAATTATGTAACTTGTACACACAAGCGTGGCTAGCTGGATGAAGGGAGTTCTGGTGAGATTAACATGTGATAGTAAATGCTGGTCAGAGGTAGCCGATGTTTGCACGCACTCTACAGAAACTCGGACATTTTGGAATATGATTACAGGTATTTAGATGTTGAATGCCACAGCCGATACGAGACAAAACTGAGAAAAACATGCCGAGATAGTTTACAATTTTTAATGCGTGGATAATGTTAGGCTGGTGGAGAGTATATTATAGTGAATTTAAGGGTGGGAATTCACAGAGGGGAAGGCCATGAAGGTGGGCAGACGTACTGTATGTGTGGTATTTAAAATGTTTTTAAGTTGAAAGTTGAGGCATCCTTGATGTTACTTGTCCTCTCAGCTTGCACGCCAGCATAGCCATCACAATCCAACTTATCTGTAACTCCTACAGGAAACTTCCTTTTTGAATGCTACATCATTTTTTGAGATATTTTTTACAGTTGCTTGTAGGTTGAAGTCATGGACGTCTGTGGTTCATAATACAGCATTCCCAAATTGTGTTTATGGCACCACTACTTTTTTGGAGGAATGCATGATGCAGTTTGCTTGACTGAATGGTATACAATTCATATGCAGGCGATGAGTCACAATAATGTGGCTAAAGTATGTTGACCAGACCACACACTAGGTGAAGGGACGACGACGTTTTGGTCCGTCCTGGACCATTCTCAAGTCGATTGTCTAAACTGTATACAATTCAATTTCTGCAGGGCGCAACATTTGGGTAGGTTTCTTAATTAAACATCTGATGGTTCTATTCATCTCACTACAATAATTTCATAATAGGCACTGTTGCGGGGTTGCATCCTGGGGGGTGTCAGTGGTTAAACTTATCAAAGTCTCCCTATGCCATCAGGTGTTCTGGCCTTAATACAAGTATTGGGAATCATTCTGCACTGCCTACCATTTCTCACTCGTGTTTATAATTTTATACATCGTTTTATACATTATACAACAAGCTTATACAGTACATCCTTTGGAATATGACTTCAGTATTTTCCTTGTGTATGAGATATACAGTACAGTATCTCATATTTCGACTCCAAAGAGTTTAATTTGAGGGCTTTGAGGCACTCCCAGTAGTTTAAGGATACAGTATATATTTTCATATACAGTACTATATATGTATCTATACTTTAATTTCAGTATATATGTATCACTACAGGATACAGTATATATTTTCCAGTTAAGAAATTTTATTTGTCTTCAAAGGGGAGCATCAACAATGTATGGGATATGGAATAAGACTGGGTTGAAATGATTTGTAAGGAAAACATGTATGTATTTGTTTGAACACTGAATAACCTATGAAAAATTTTGAGCAATTATGTAAACTGGTCTTATGATGCATTGAGGTTCTGCTATGAATGATGTTAGTGTGTGATTATCATGGGGCTATTTAGTGTGAATAACAAAATGCATGGACAAATGATTTTTATCTTTTCTAATATTTTAGTGTTTAACTGGATTATTCACCGGGCTGATGCCCCAAGGTGTCACAAAAATGGGATAATGATAATGGATATACTGTGTATGCATTACCAACTCCACACGATTATCCATTGCCATGTAATTATTGCATCTATATTGCTGAGGTATTAGTGGCAATGAGATCTTTCCAATTAACACTTTCGCACTCTCGGCGCTCAAAAAAAAACAATACCCCAGATGCTTTCGGCACTTCGCGCGCCTACGCGGTAAGACCGAAAAAGTGTACACTCTTTTGACTGTCCTGACAATAATTGAAGGCGCACGTATTTAAATTTGGTATCACTGTGTTCGCAATGAAATTGTCTATAAGAGCATACCTATAAAATGCCGCCCAAGCATAAGGAGTATCAACACCAAATAAAAAACTATGCAGATCACTCGCCGAGAGATCCAAACAGCAACAAAATGTTTCCACTCTCTTAATGGTTGCGAAGCCTACAGTTGTCCTACATCGCTAATTTTGGTATCATTGGAATCGCAATAAAATTCTCTACGCAGACATATGCATATGAATGTTTAATATAGGTAATTGCCCACCCGCAAGAGTGTGTGAAGTGGAGAGTAGTTAGCCGCGAGCGCACTGGCGAAAACACGGGGGAAATCATGCTTGGAAAGTTTATACATTTATACGTTTCCTGACCCTACTTTTCTATGTACGTATTTCTTTTTTATACCAATGTGTTCGCAATAAAATTTTCTATAAGATGAAATGTATAACAATTGTACAAAGCATGTGTAAGAGAAGCGCCAAATATAGAACCACGTCGCTCAGTATGCGTTCGCGGCAGAAACGAACGCATTGTTTTCGTTCGTTTGATGTTTGTCATGTTTATACTTGTTGAAACATTTTATAATTTGTATGACAGTGATCGCAGTAAAATTCCCTACACAGACATATACATAACACATACAAATATTTCCCACGTGTTGGATATATCAACGGCTAAAGGGAACCCACTGCCACACCCAGAGCCACACCCGCCACACCCCCAAACATACTTTGTGTTTTTTTTTTTTTTACTCATAGAAGTTTATGTGATATAATATTCATTCTGGTACCAAAAAATTTGCAAATAAATTATCTACAAAACGTATATAATATAACTTCTTATAGATGATAAAAAATTCCAAATAGGTGTACTTACCCTGTCTATGTTGATTGAAGATCAACAGTTGAGCATTTTTTCTTCACTCCACCATCTTCAGGCTTCTGATCCTGAAGTTGCTCATCTGATGTTTCTTAGGTGGAGTGAAGCTGTTGCCGGTGGTTATTTTTTCTCCACCCAAAATATCTTTGTTCGGTGGTACCTTGTGTAGCAAGGCGCAGCGCACAGTGCCACATCACAAGTTTTACATCCATATATCACGTCCCTCCTTTTACCAGACTTGAAACAAACACGGCATCTTCTTTTTTTAGCCAAGTGCACGAGTTCATGCGTCAACTTGTAGTTGAGACGTTGTTCTGAATCTATAATTCTTCTATTTCTTGGATGCACTGGAGGAACATTGTCTTCTACAGGAACCACCAAACTTGTAGTAGAATCTTCTATGAAATCAGAAACATCAAGTGGTTCTATGTCCTCAATGTCCATTTCAGCTGTTCCACGTCAATAAGGCTTTTATTCCTACTGCGTGAAACTCTAATAGTGTTAGTTTTTTTGTATCTGTTGAGTAGTGGTTATACAATGCGTATGCATTGTGCATGGCCATTTGCAGAAAATAGAAAGTGATCTTCTTGGTCCATTTGTGGGTTTTTCTTGCAAACTCATAATATTTGACCATTTGATCAAAATGATCAACACCTTTCATGAACTTATTGTAATCCACTATGGCCTTTGGTTTGTTCATTTTCACAATTTCTACTCCAGTTCTCCTGTCACGTTTACGAACGCGTTTCCTGCGCTGTGCTTGAGTAGTGTCGGCATTGTGGATATTGGTGATGACAGAGACGGGGCGCTTGTCCTTCCAAACTATAACATGATTTCTATTTCCATGAAAACTCCATGAATGAAACTCCATGAAAACTATTTCATGGAGAAAAATCTGAGAGTATCCCCCATCCATTTCGGTTAGAAAATGGAATTTATAGAAATATTTTTTCGATGGACTACAAAAGTAGGCTGTTATGCGGAATCGTAAGAAAAAACGGCGACGAGTTATCTCTAATCTAAAGCGCGAAAGTGTTAATGGGCATGATTACCATGTAGATGAGAACTTTGCTGACGTACTGGTAAAACTAAGCTACAATATTCCAACGAAAATTTGCCCTAGAAAAAAATCATTTTGTGATCACTGGAGGCATGAGATGTGCAGACATTTGAAATTATTTGTAGTTAGGTACTGAACACAAGACAGTTATGTACTTTGATATTTTTGTAAGAAAATCTTGCTCTATGAAATTTCTCATTTTCCCCTAAGGTTCTTGACTTGTGTATAACATAATGATTTATGTTATTATAAACATATGTAAACATTATAATATAAACAAATATACCTGATTGCAGTATCTTGACCAGAAGACTTGTTTCTCTTCAGAAGGTTTGGTCAAACTTAAAGAAAGGGCCAAAAAACGAAAAGGTCGTGGATTTGGAGGTGATGATCGATCAGATCGGCAAGATATTCTTTATGAAGGAATGGAAGTTGATGATGCAGATGACGAGCCTGGACCACAAAGATGTTAGTAAATGCTGCCATGTCTGCCTATCTGTTGTCTACCAGGGTGGTTCTGTGGATTACCTTTGCTCAACTCTTGGTTGACAGCCGGGTCAGCCAGGTTGTCAACCAAGTGCATCATTTAGAGGTCTATTTTTAATTCCCCTTTCCTGTAAATGGAAGGATTTGATAAGCATTGAGATTTTTGTGTGACTCGTTTTGACATTTTTAATGTACTTTTAATTGTAATTGTTACTACAGTATTTTGCAAATAATTTGTCTTTGTTTAATGACTAAATTTAAAATTTATTTGTTGCTCTTATTTAGCTTATAAATATATAATAATAGTATTTAAGTAAAGTATTACCATATGATCGTTTCAATTATTCTGTAATATCCGTATTATTCTTAGTACTGTACATTCTTTTTCTTAGCAAGACCACTCATTTGCTACCATAGGCAATGGCCAGCCCCTCCCATGAAAATGATCAGGCAGTCAAGCAAATGTCTGCACATACTAAATAATTTTTCAGGTACCTTGTGCCCTATGACAGTAGGGAAAGGTAAACATTGAAAATTACTGGATCCAAGACAGAATGGCCTCAGAAGGCAGAACCTCCTTGAACTACACCATTCAGTTTCAAGAGATTGCTAAGCATTGCTACTGAAGTTAGTTGGCCCATCTAGTCACTAATAGGTGTTAGCACACTACATCTCAACAGAATCACAGGTATCAGCCAACATTATTTTAGCCTGGCTCCCTTCCCTTGTGCATTCAAGCTTGTGCAAAGGCAGCTTTCACTGAAATGAGTTTTGTTCAAACTTGCTGTTGGGCAGCAGCATTCGTGCTGGGCACCATCCTTATTTACCCTTGGTAAATAAATACCCTTGGCACTAGTGTCAGCACGTCACTAGTGCATGATTGTGCGATCCAGCATGCTGCCTCTGGTGTCACTTGATAGTTTTGTGTGGCTGTTGTCATATTTTGTCACAGCCTATCGTTGTATTTTCCTGTGTATGGCTCGACTGAGTGGTAGTTGACAACAGCATGGGTGAAAACACTGTCTCCAAGGCCAGATCCCTTCTCTGGTAGGTGGGGATCTTCGTAAATTACCTGTTCTAGGATTTTAGTCTAATTTTCTGCTCATCTGTGTTCACTTTGGCATTTTGACATGGGGTTGAGCTTGCATGCAAAAAGAAAAAACCTAAATATTCAAGTCTTTTCTAGTTTCATGTACATTGATAGGGAGACTGGAAATATACAGTGGTACCTCGGAATGCGATTGTCCCTGTATGCGAGATTTTCGGAAGGCGAGGTGTATTTACTCCAAAAATTTGTCTCAGAAGGCGAGGGTTACTTCGGGAGGCGAGTTTGGACGCGAGTTTGTTGATACGCGTACAGCCGACCTAGCGCGTTCGTCGCCCCTCCGCCCCGCCGCCCCTCAGTTTATTATTGTCTGGCGCTCAGTGACTACCCCCACATCAATTCTTCTCGCGGATTTTCAGTGTTTTGTTGGATTTTTGGTGATTTGTCTATACAATTTGTTATTATATATCTCACCATGGGTCCCAAGAAAGCCAGTGGTAAGGATAAAGGCCAGAAAGCTCCTGTGAGGATGACAATAGAGGAGAAACAAGAGATCATTCGGAAGCATGAGAACGGTACACGTGTTGTTGAACTTTGTAGGCAGTACAACAAAGCCACATCAACAATATGCACTATACTTAAGAAGAAAAATAAGATTATGGGTGCTAAAGTGGCAAAAGGAGTAAGAACATTAACGGCACAAATACTTGAAGAAGTGGAAAAGTTGTTATTAATTTGGATACACGACAAGGAGTTGAGGGGTGATAGTGTTTCGGAGGCCATTATTTGTGAGAAAGCCAGGGTGTTGCACGAAGACCTTCTAAAGAATACCCCTGCAACGAGTGATGCAGATAAGAAAGAGTTTAAGGCAAGCAGGGGCTGGTTTGAAAAATTTAGAAAGAGAAGTGGTATCCATAGTGTTACAAGGCATGGGGTTATGTGATGTGATTATGGAAGGGGACTCCCCTTCCAAACAGTAACTCCTCTCCTCCTCCCCCCTCCTCACCATCTTCCATACGCCTACAGCACTCGACAGTAAGGTAAGTAATAACTGGAACACAGTTTTGTAGGTTTATTTAGATGAATTAGGTATAAAAATTTAGTTTGATGTGGGGTTTTTGGGGTAGTCAGGAACGGATTAATTCATTTCCCTTTATTTCTTATGGGGAAATTAACTTCGGAATGCGAGTTTTCGGAAGGCGAGGCGTCTCCAGGAACGGATTAAACTCTTATTCTGAGGTATGCCTGTACACATTATTTACATCTCTTCTCGAGATAGTTTTCCTCTTTTCCTCTATCAGTGCAGATCAAACTCGACATGCTCTGGTCTTGCTCCCAGATGTCTGTTACAGTCAGAGCCATGTGAAGTATCCACAACCTATGCTAGATTTTGCTGTTGGCCCTTGGCTAGTTTTTGTTGAGATCTTGAACAGTTTGCAGTTTTATTTTCTTCCCCATTTGGTGTATTGCCTGTGTTTGCAGCACTTGCTTTGTGGGGGTGTTCTCTCTGTTGGCCACTTTCTACTTTTGGTTCTTTATTTCTGTGGTATTTCATACTTATCCACATTTGTCCTACTTGGATTTGGGTCAGGCCTGCCATGTTCTGGTACATTACCTGTACCTACTTTTCTACCACCAGCTTTATGGCCTCTTAACTCTGTGTCCCAGAGGTTTTCTTGTTGGGAAGAGGTCCAGAGTGCTTGGATGTCTTCTGGCTCCTATTCGCAGCCAGAATGTTTATTTTTTTATTCCCCTCAGTTATATCTTTCAAATCAAAATTAGTTCTTTATTTGGGTTAGGAATTGGACAGTAAATGTTTAAATACAGTGGGGGGCAAAGTGACACTGACATTCATACTAAACTTGTTTTCTAGCAGATACTTAGTAAAACAAAAATATATTAGTACATAGGATATGTAATGAGATTTTCGTCAAACAAGAGGAGCGAGCCATTGTCTAAGGAAGCAACTGAATGGCTAGCTCAGAAAGTAACTTTGCTGGTACTATATATCCAAAGTCTCAAGACCTAAGATCTTTTTGTATGTGAATTACTCTACTATATTACATGTTTTAATACTAGTTTTAACATCTCTTCTCACAGCGGTAGAGGGCTGGATTCTTTTTGTTACGGGAGTCCATGAAGAGGCACAAGAGGATGATATTCATGATAGGTTCTCGGAGTATGGGGAGATTAAGAATATTCATCTAAATCTAGATCGGAGAACTGGATTCCTTAAGGTGAGCGTTTCAGGGTGGACTATGGCACAGTTTTTTTTTAGGTAAGTTCTGCTCTTGGTACAAGTTATATCAGTTTTGAAAACTAAGACAAAACTTATAAAAAAGTCCTGGATAAAAGATACACTTTAGAGAATGAGTTGGAAAATTTGGTATAGAGGCTGGATGTCTAGGACATTAGTTAAACACACATACTAGTTAAAGATACATTTACTGTATATAGATATTTAGGAAGGTGATTTAATCTGGTTGTCTTGATTTATTTTGTCTGGGAAAAATTTCAAGGATTAGATGGGTGGCTTATGGTGGTGAAGTCTAAACAAATTCTTGAAGATTTAAATGGGTGGTTGCCCTTTTGTCACAGTCAAGGTGGTGGTGTGTCTCTTAGTGAGAGCTTGTTTCTTTAAGTAAAAAGAATGTACAGTGGAAGAAGGAAATGAAGCTTTTGAAATCGTCAAAGAAAGTTGCACCAAATTTTGATGTTAGAGAAGTTATTGACAAATATAATATGAATGTGACAGTGTTGTATGTATAATGCAGTATATATAATGTAGCAAGTACAGTAGTGTGTGTAAATGGGTAGTATGCAAATCTATTTGTAATCAGTTCCATTTCCCACTTCCATGAGATAGGTAGACACTTGCCTAGAAAATATAGAAGTGTTGTAAGAAAATGTAGTCAAAAGTAATCAGCAACCCTTGTTTTGCATAATTTGGCAACATAAGAGTAAAGGAAATTGCTGAAGGTCTTTTGGCCCATAAGAGGAAGCTCTTGTTTATATTCATCCCAGCTCTTTCATGTGTATACAGTAAGTACATGTTACCTATGCTTAAAACATTCAGTGATCCAGCATCTGCTATGTTGCCCAGTAATTTGTTCCATAGATCAACTATACTATTTCCAAACCAGTATTTACCTCAGGTTTTCCTAAATCTAAACTTATCCAATTATATCCATTGTTTCGTGTTCTATTTTGTATTTTTTTAACACATTATTATTCATGCTATACTATTTCGTCCATTTGTATACTGTACTTCAATCATGAGTAAATCTTTGGAGTTATGTGATGGAATTGAACTGACATTCCAGGTCACCTCGGGTACCTGTGTTATGCATTAGTTATTAGACCATGATAAGAACCAATACAACAGGAAATTAGTACCTGGTACTGTGCTGTCACACTAGCATAATCACAAATAGAATTTAATGTGAATAAATGCCATGTTAGGGAATGTAGAATAGGAGATACGAATCCACATGCAACCTACAAATTATGAGAAAAAGTTTTAAAGAATGTTGATGAAAGTGATCAGTGGTGGTTCTGGATAGAAAACGGTCACCAGAGGATCACACAAACAGTATTGTGTGAGGAGTCTATGATGTGTGCAGCAAGTTGGATCCACCTTGAGAATCACATTTAGGTACATGACAAAAATTAAACAAGTTGTTTATGACCTTTGTGAGATCAAAGTTGGAATGTGCAGTGATTGTATGGTGCCATATTGCAAGAAGCACATCAGTAAACTGGAAAAGTATGAAGCCATGCAATCAAATGGCTTCTGGAACTAAAAAATAAGAGCTGCAAGGTGAGGCTAGAATATGTAAATGCTAAATATATTAAATCTAGAAGAAAGAGGTTATATGGTCACTGCACAGTCACTGGTGACGCAGAAGTGACACTCGCTCCGCATTTCGTGAGCTGTTTTCCTCTAGATTCATATCTTAATTGGGGAGGATTAATCCTTAAATGTATGCCTCTGTGATTGGGTACCTGGTTGTTAAATGATTGGCGAGTTGTATTCCAGGGGAACTAATGAGTAAGGCTTACCATGAGCTATGGTATGGGAAAGCTCTCAGCCTGCTAGCAGGAGTCAGCAGTTATCTAATCTTGTACCCACCTGTGTTAAGAAAAAAAAAAATTCTTGAAACTGCAACTTCAAGAACAAGAGGTCATAGATTCAAACTAAGGAAACAAATCTGCTGCAAAGTGGTAGACAGTTCGAAGAAGTTTGTGACAAGGCGGTGGCCAAAACAATTGGCGTTTCATTACATTCTATGCTGGTTTTCTGGGGGGAGCCCCGTCGGCTCCCCGGAGCTATCCCAGGCTGATATGCTAATGTCAGACTTTGGCATCAGTCATGTGTATGGAGTTCTTAGGCCTACCGGGGACCACGGCCAGAACCGGGCCCCCTCAGAGAGGCAAGGGGAGCAATGGCCTATAGAAGCCCCCGTGTAGTTGGAAGCATTCTATGTCTGCCATCGACCGGAACAGGCACCCAGAAAGGTAAGCGCCCCAAAACAAACCCCTATTCTGGTTAAAATTGCTACCTAATACCGAACTAGTGGATAGAACTCCCCAACCGAAAACAAGCAAATTAGTGTGACGTCACACACTGCCGCGCCGCTGTCTGCGCAGCTCCCCCCTCCCCGGGAGGGGGAAGGGGGAGCCCCAGACCCCCCGCGCCGGCTACCCACACCTCAGTTCTTGAGGCTGATGCTATAGGCGATGGTCGTGTGCTCTGGCTCCGGTGTCGCTACTGCACTGTGCTTTGAGTGTGGTGTTAGTTTTGTGGGTGCGAGAGCCAGGAGTTATCTTCAGTACTCGGGCTGCATGCGCCTAGGGCTGCCTTCCCTAGGTGCCCTGTAAGTACTGCCCTTGGGGCTTGGGGCCACCTTCCACAGGCTCCTCGGGGTCTGCCTCTGCTGGTCCGTTTTACCTTTCGGTTTTTCGGCCGCCTGTTGGGCTCTTGGGTGTTCTGTTCTCCCTTGTTACCGGCAGGTAAGAGGCAGTTTGCACTGGTAGGGGCGCAGGGTGCTGCTCAGCTTGTAATTCCCGACATCGCGGCCGGCTCTGTTCCTTGGGGTTCGCTGTCCTCTTGCGGGGTTTTGTTTTTCTTTTTCTTTTTGCCTGGTGGGGGGTTCTGTCATTTTATTCAGTTTGTTTTTGCCCTTCCACTGTTCTCCTCGGTAGCGCCCCCTGCTAGGTCCCCGTGAGTGTACACGTCCCTGGGGTTCAGCTTTAGAAGTTTGCTTCGTAGTTTTGGGCGCCGGTTTGCAGCACCCTGCCTGGGACTACCTGAGCGCGAGTCCTCTTAAAGTAAACGCTCAGGACCCTGGGAATCCCCTAGGGGGCGCGTGGGTCCGATGGATGTGACCCCGGAGTCCCCACTCGCTGTGTGCGAGTTTGAGGGTTGCTCGGTCCCCTTGTCTCAGGGTGACCCTCATTGTTTTTGCCTCTGCCACGCTGCCTGTTGGGTCGGTGATACTTTCGACCCTGAGTCCTGTGAGTGTTGCTGCTTGCTTGTGACTCAATTTACCCAATCCTCTGATGATTCTATTCGGGTACAGGCGGCACGTGCGTTGCAGTCTAGGTTTCGTCTGTTGCAACGCGCTCGGTTGGTTGCTTCCCCGGATGCCCCGGGGCTGCCCCGCTTTGCTTTTCGAGACCCGGACTTGGGGGTGGGGGTCGCTTCGATCCTGGTTCAGTCCGCACCTCCTCGTCCTTCCCCTTCTGTTCGTTCTGGTCCCCCGCCCCTGCTTCCGGCCCCGAAGCGTCTGAGGGTTTCGGGGTCGGAGCAGGGGTTACTTGATCTCGAGACTCGGGCAGCTTCGGGGGTTGCCCCTTCCGGGGGGCGGCAGAGGCATTCGAGTCTTGTCTCCCGGCCGAAGCTTCAGGGTCTGACCAGTGGGCCCCCCTTCCTCCAGCTTTTCCGGCTGCTCCGTCCTTGTCTTGTGGGGTCGGGGCTTGGGGAGAGGACTCGGCCTCGGGTCCTGTGGTGACGGACCTCGAGGCTGGGGAGGGGCTGACTTGGGGGCCTTGGGCCCCGCTGGACCCCGCCTGGGTTTTTCTTCCCACTGAGCGGGGCTTATTGTTACAAGGAGTGGGGTTTTCTTTCCCCCCCTCTGCGTACGAGTTGGATTTGGTGTCGGCCCCTCCCCGGGTACGGTTCCGTGTTCCCCCGGGTACGTCGGTTCCGTCCTTCCGGAGGTTTTCGGCTTATCGCATCCAACCTGGTGTGGTGCGAGCGGCCTTTGCAGGTTGCCTCCTGCGTGACCCGGATTATGCCTCGGAAATGGATCCGTCCACGTTCAGGTTTGGGACTTCGTTCCCTTTCTGGCTCCGTTACGAGGTTCCGGAGTCATCCTGGCTAGCAGACTGCCCCTTGTTTGGTCTGGATTCCTGGCATTCCTTCTGTCGTTCCCGCACGCTGGAGTGGCGGGAAGCTTCCACGGTGCTTCAGGTTTTCCTGGGGGGTGAACTTGAGTACCTGAATGAGTGCTTGTTTGCCCCTGCCCTTCCCCGCGATGTGGGCGTTATTCAGCTCCATGTGCAGGTTCCCTCCCTTTCGGCGGCGCTCGTGGCGGAGGACTTGCGTGCTCGGGGCCTTTTGTGTTCGGCCTTGCGGTTCTTTTCCCTCCTGGAGCTGTCTTCGGATTGGCTCGTGGAGGATGTGGGGACGCTTGGGTCCGTCCCGGGGTCCGGCACCTTGTCCTCGGCTGCGCGTTCGTCGGCTGCCTTGTTGAAGCTGTTCACGCCGATTTTGCGGGATGCGGTTTCCCTGTTCTATGCTTCCCGTCTCGCGTGTCGGCAGGCGGTGCTGGGTTCCTCCGTGGAATCTGCTTGGGCTCTGGCTCTTAGGCGTTCTTCACCTTTTTGTCCTCTCCTGTTTGGGGAGTCGGCCGTGGCGCAGTTTATTCAGGCTGCGTCGGCGGCTTGTCGTCCGATGTCGGACTTGTTGGTTTTCCGGGGGTCCCGGGGTGGGTCTTCCCGGAAAGGTCGTGCCAGGGCTCGGGGTTCCTCTCGTCGTGGTAGGCCTCTGGTGTCAGGTTTGGGGTTGGCTCCTCCTGCGGACCCTCCCTCGTCTGGTCGGCGCGGTGTTCGCGCTGTGCGGGGTTCTGGGTCTCGTAAGGGTCGCCGGCCCTTTCGCGGTTTGCCCCTTTGACGGGGCGATGGGGGGGCGGCTTGCGCTGTTCGCCCGCGCCTGGTCCCACGATTCGTGGGCCTTTCGGGTCGTGTCTCGCGGCCTGCGGTGGCGTTGGGTGGCCCCTCCCCCCTTTGGGGGGTCGGGGCTGGCGGGGCAGGCTTCTTCCCCTGCACTCTGTCGAGTCGTCTTGGAGTGGGTACGCTTGGGCGTCGTCGAAACGACGTCGTCCCTCAGATGGGTTTTCCGTCTGTTTCCGGTTCCGAAACGGGACTGCGCGGACCTGCGGTTCATTCTGGACTTGTCCCGTCTGAACCCCTGGGTTCATTGCCCCTCCTTTCGGATGACTACGCTGTCTCAGGTTCGGCTCCTCTTGGAGCCGGGTGCTTGGATGGTGTCCCTGGACCTCCGGGACGCTTATTGGCATGTCCCGATTCATCCACGGTTCAGGGACTGGCTCGGTTTTGTAGTGGGGCGTCTGAGTTACCGCTTTCGTTGTCTCCCGTTCGGGTTGAACCTGGCACCTCGCGTGTTCACACGCCTTACACGGGTTGTGGTGGCTCGTTTGCGTCTCCTAGGTGTTCGGGTGTTGGCCTACCTCGACGACTGGCTGGTTTGGGCTCCCAGCCAGTCAGCTTGCTTGCTAGCCAGGGATTTGGTTCTTTCCCAGCTCGCCGGGTTCGGGTTCTTGGTGAACTGGAGGAAGTCCCATCTGGTTCCCTCTCAGGTTCGGACTTGGCTGGGTCTCGTGTGGGACTCTCGGACCGCCTCCTTGTCTCTCCCTCCGGAGTCTCTCCTGCGGCTGCGGTCCCGCCTTCGTCTGTTTCTGGAGGGCCCTCGGGTCACCCGGCGGTTGCTCGAGGGGCTGTGCGGGAGCCTGAGCTTCGCGATGGTGGTCTACCCGCCGGGTCAGGTTTGGCTTCGACGGCTGTTCTGGTTCCTTCGGGGTTCCCCCTTCCGCCTCTCTCGCGATCGCAGAGTTCAACCCCCGGGGGACTTGCGTCGGTTGCTGCGTCACCGGCTTCCTCTTCGGGTTTTCGGGGTTCAGTGCCTTGGCGCCTACCCGAGCCCTCGCTCGATGTGTACACGGATGCGTCGTCTCTCGGCTGGGGTTTTGTGACCAGTGCTCACCAGGCCGGCCATGGGCGTTGGGATCCGTCCTTCCGTCGAGCTCACAGTACGGTGCGGGAGTTCGCGGCAGTGTGGTTTGCTCTGGGGAGGATTCGGGTGGCCCGCGGATCGACGATTCGGCTCCATTCGGACTGCTCTCCGGTGGTTCATTGCCTGAACCGCGGGGGTTCGATGCGGTCCTTGTCTCTTTGGGGTTGGTCGCTTCGGGTGACTCGTCTGCTTAGTTCTCGGGGTTTGGCTCTCCTGGCGGTTCACGTACGGGGCGTGTCCAACGTCTTTGCCGACGCCCTGTCTCACTTCGTTCCCCTCTCCACGGAGTGGACGGTCGACGACGAGTCCTTCCGTTGGCTTTGCCAGACGTTCGGGCGCCCCGAGGTGGACCTCTTCGCGTCGGCGTGGTCGCGGCGTCTTCCCGTTTATGCGGCGCCCTTCCCCGATTGCGAGGCCGTCGGGGTCGATGCCTTTCGGCTCGACTGGTCGAGGTGGGGGTTCCTGTACCTCTTTCCCCCAGTTCGGCTGTTGCTCCAGGTCCTGACTCGCTTAGAGACTTACCGGGGGAGAGTTGTCCTTCTGGCCCCTTGGTGGCCGGCCCAGCCTTGGTTTCAGGCGCTGGTTACTCGGTGTCCGAACCCGAGGGTTTTCCCGCGGCTCCGCCTCTTTCAGCAGATCGGGCCGGTACGTCACGTAGCTGGTTCGATCTTCTCCTCGAGTCTTCGCGTATGGTTTTTTTGACTCGAGTCTATCATCATCTCTATGGTGATCAGGTGGCCTCCTTGTTGGTGTCCCACCTGAGGGCTTCTTCTCGGCGGCAGTATGAAGTTTCCTGGCGGTCCTTCCGTTTCTTTTTGCGTCTTCGTCGTGTTAGCTCCTTGTCTGTTCGGGTGGTCTTGTCCTTCCTCTCGTGGTTGTTTCAGGACCGTCATCTTATGCCTAACACTGTCGCTTCGTATCGTGCGGCGCTGGCGGAGCCGCTTCAGCTTGCTTTCGGTATCGATGTTACGTCTGCGCCGTTTCGCAAGCTGTCTCGTGCATTGTTTCACCTCCGGCCTGCTCATGCGTCGCCTGAGCCGTCCTGGTCTTTGGACAGAGTGCTCGCTTTCCTTTCATCTCCTCGTTTCGTTGTGGCCCCTTCGGTCCAGGATTGTTTTTCCAAGGCACTTTTCTTGTTGGCTTTGGCCTCTGGGGGTCGGGTAGGGGAGCTTCATGCTCTCCTCCGGCGCAGGGGTTTCTGCTCTTTTGGTCGTGGTGATAGTTTTGTTCGTTTGCAGCCGTCTCCTTCTTTTCTGGCGAAGAATGAGACTGCTGCGTTCCGGAGGGGTCCATGGGTGGTTGATGCTTGGTTGGTCGGGCCAGGGGTGCATCATGTTTTGTGTTCGGTTGCGGCGCTTCGCCGTTATTTGCGCGCCACAGCTTCTGTGTCCGGGGACGCGCTGTGGGTTGATCCGGTTTCCCTTCTTCCCTGTTCGCGGGTTCGGGTCTCTCAGGTCGTCCGCAGGGTTATTAGGTCTAGCCAGCCTGCGGTCTATCCCCGTGCCCATGACGTTCGTAAGTTCGCGGCTCTTGCTGCCGTCTTTGGGAATATGTCTTGGTCTGATATTCGGGCGCGGGGATTTTGGCGGTCGAACAGGGTCCTGGCTGCTCGTTACCTTGTGAATGTCCCTGGCCCTCGTCGGGCCTGTGTTGCTTTGGGTCGGCGGTTGCAGCCAGTTGTCTCGGCTTCGAGTTGAGGGGTGAGCGACGTCCGCCTCCCGGGTAAGTCCCTCTTTTTCTGTCTGTGGGTAGTTAGCTCCGGGGAGCCGACGGGGCTCCCCCCAGAAAACCAGCGTTGAATGTAATGAAACGCCATTTTCTGGGTGAGTCCCGGAGGCTCCCCGGCATCCCTCCCTCCCTCCGGTCGGCGGTTTTTCGCGTTTTTGACATCCAGCCTCAAGAACTGAGGTGTGGGTAGCCGGCGCGGGGGGTCTGGGGCTCCCCCTTCCCCCTCCCGGGGAGGGGGGAGCTGCGCAGACAGCGGCGCGGCAGTGTGTGACGTCACACTAATTTGCTTGTTTTCGGTTGGGGAGTTCTATCCACTAGTTCGGTATTAGGTAGCAATTTTAACCAGAATAGGGGTTTGTTTTGGGGCGCTTACCTTTCTGGGTGCCTGTTCCGGTCGATGGCAGACATAGAATGCTTCCAACTACACGGGGGCTTCTATAGGCCATTGCTCCCCTTGCCTCTCTGAGGGGGCCCGGTTCTGGCCGTGGTCCCCGGTAGGCCTAAGAACTCCATACACATGACTGATGCCAAAGTCTGACATTAGCATATCAGCCTGGGATAGCTCCGGGGAGCCTCCGGGACTCACCCAGAAAATGGCGTTTCATTACATTCAACGCTGGTTTTTTGTAACTGTGTGGACCATTGTACATGACGTAATGAACAATTAGTAGAATTTGATACTTTTACTTTATAGTCCAAAAAATAGAGCTAAAAAAATTAAATTTCTAGTACAACTTACATATTCCAAGTAATGTATGTACTACATTAGGCCTCATTGTGTATTTGGCCTAGAAAGGTTAGGTTCGATTAAGTATTCTTTGCAACATTACAAAAACGTTTCCGGTTTGTCCAAATTCAATGGCACCAATTTCTACTCTCTATTTAAAGCCTATTACATAAACATATATAAGATGGTCCTCATCGTTACTATAAGTACTACCTAAGCAGGAAGATGGGCTGGATTAATTCTTTGTAAATGGATAGCCTTTTATTAGTAGCCTTAAATATTCAATCAATGATAACTAGCTTAAAAATGTAACTATCTTTGCAGGGTTATGCACTGGTAGAGTTTGAGACCTTCAAGGAAGCTCAGGCCGCTCTGGATGGGCTTAATGGGACACAGATTCTAGGCCAAACAATCACCGTAGAGTGGTGCTTTGTTAAAGGACCAAGAAAGTAAGTGCTTCTTTAGTGAGTTGTCTCATACTGTGTTCCAAACTGATTATGCCAGTACAAGGCTCTTCATGCTCTTTTTAATTCATTGATAAGAATTTATAAGTTTTCCTTAATTGTTGTTAATTCAATGTACCTATTTTTTGTTCTAATTGAACATCTTGAATTATTGTTAACACGTTTCCCAGATTTATGGTTTGTGAAATAACAAGTGACTATTTCATTCTAGAGAAGGTTAGATGTTTAAGTATTTTAGTTCAAGACTGCATATCCATATTCTATATTTTTTACCATTATGTGAAATGTACTGTATATGGTGTGGGGCAGATGTCTTGGTGGTACCAGAAGAGAATGTACTGTGTATATACTGAGGTAGAAGACTATATGTACCAAGACAGGAAGCAGTGTATATGTACCGAGACAGGGAGCAGTGTATATGTACCGAGACAGAAGACTGTGTATATGTGCCAAGATAGAAGGCTTTCTATATGTACCGAGGCAGAAGGCTGTGTATGCATGTGTACTGAGGTAAGAGGCCATGTATGCATGTGTATCAAGGCAGAAGGCTGTGTATGCATGTGTACTGAGGCAAGAGGCCATGTATGCATGTGTACCAAGGCAGAAGGCTGTGTATGCCTGTGTGCCAAGGCAGAAGGCTGTGTATGCCTGTGTGAAAAGGCAGTACACGTTCATACACAGCTTCATGCCTCGGTACACAAGCATACATGGCCTCCTGCCTCAGACACGAAGACATGTATGCTTGTATACCAAGGCAGGAAACTGTGTATGCATGTGTACCAAAGCACGAGGCCATGTATGCATGTGTACTGAGGGAGTAGGCCGTTTATGTATGATACCAATGCAGGAGGCCGTCAAATAACTCCCTCAATTTCCCTAAGTCAATCAAACCACATCTAGTTAACTTAGCACTTGCTAGAGTTTCTGGGTAATGCCACATAGTTGTGGGATAATTATTATAAAAGATATGATGTGGGATATTTTTATATATACAGTATAAATATTAAATGGCGAGGAATAGATTGGAGTACTGTATTGTTCTCTGATGTCCTCCTTTTTTGTTAACTAATACATGATCTTTTTATATTTGTTTCAGGAGCCGAAAAGAAAGGCGGCGCCGGTGAATATTCGTTTTGTTATTTATGGTCACTTCTTGATTGTATGATTAATCATTAAGGTATTTTTATAAATATATACCGTACTGTAATGTCAAATATTTAATTCACAGAATTATTAATCTTTTTTTTAAGGTTCAGGAACAAATTGGTTTATTGCTAGGTAAAATTATATAATTGTACCTATACATTACTATAATTAGTAGCCAGGAAATATGGTAGGAAAAAATTGTAATTACCTACTGTCTACCTTGTCCTTTGTTATTCAATAAAGATTGTCCATTATATTCTTTGTGATCTGATTATCATTGTATTGATTGATGTTCTGTAGTGATTCTTGTTCTCTCATTATTATGTTTCCTCAAAAATTTTGTAGTTTTGAAATTTGACATTGAGAACTGCTTCTTAACACTAGGATGTTAAGAGCAGATTGGAAGCGAGCACTTAGTGTTATATCCCAAAATAATATCTTTTGACTCGCTTCTGTAAAACTGCATTAACCCTTGCACTGCTCCAGTTGGTATCTGCCATTTCCTTCTGGGCTCCAATCACCAGTTGCTATTTTTTCCTTTGGTTTATTAACTAATTTTTAAGCATGTGCACCTCACCATAGTACTTTAAAATAGCTGTGCTTTTTAGGGGTCAAGAGACAATACATGATATCTTAACTACTTCACATCGTGTAATAACTAGACACCCACGATATTTGTCTTAAACCTTGTCCAAAATTGTAACTCGAACTTCACATTTATGACTGAATGGTAGTAACAGAACAGTGATTCTACTTACAACAAACTGTTTTATGACCTTTTAATACAAAATTATGTGACTTGTGGCATTTTCAATGTTCTCTCGCAGATGGCTTTTTCCACTCAGGTATCATGTTTTGCTTCATTATTGAGTTAGGACCTCAAAAACAAAAACACTTTTACTTGAAATTTTCGAAGTACAATATTCTTAAGGTAAGTAGCATTAGGTACTATCAGGAGATGTAAATACAGGGCTCCTTTATTGAGTGAAGCTGTGAGCAGTGTGTGAACATGTAGCTCAGGTGATTGCTTTTCATCCATTCTTGTCACAGCAGTATGAATTTGAATGTTTATATCTGTTCAGTGTCAAAACAACTCATTGGTGCCTACTTGTAGCTTTATATAAAGTCAAGATCTGGTCCACGAATAATTTGAAAGGTACTGATACTCCATACAATTGGCACACTTGTCAATCTATGAACAGTACTGTATACTGGTGGTATTCTTTATACAGTATTTACTGTACTCGCACAGCCATGCTTTATATGGTCATCATACTATTACAACTCATCAGGTCAAGTGGGCATTGTGGGATTGGTATCCATATCAGTCCCTGGGATACTGTTTGGCCCCTTGGTGGTTACTCGCACATACTAACTTCTCCTCGGGGAGGAGATCGGCTGAAGGGAATTGATTGGAAACGACTACATAATTACTGCTACTATCTACTCTATTCATGGTTAGGTTAGGTTTCCTTAGGGGTCAAGAGACAATACATGATGTCTTTTAACTACTTCACATCATGTAATAACTAGACACCCACGATATTTGTCTTAAACCTTGTCAAAATTGTAACTCCATTTGTAATTATTATTACCCCATAGCAGTAATAATGATTACTGCTATTATCTACTCTATTCATGGTTAGGTTAGGTTTCCTTACATTTGGTTTTAATACAGTATTATTGGCGATAATATGGAATTCGAAAACTACTTGTGTGCCCAATAACTGTTTACAGAAAACTAAATTCTTCAAAGGAAACTAAATTCTTCAAAGTTGCTCGAATGTAACAACTCTTGTATATATCTCAAAAAAAAAATAAGACCTGACCAAACGTAAACTGTGTCAACAAAATTATTCGCACACCCTCCATCACTATGTGATGGAGGGTGTGCGAAAAGATACGTGAATTCAGAGATAATTCTGAAACACATCTTTCATAGATGTGTAAATATTTCATTCAAAATGATCTGGTACCAGAAATTTTAGCCAAATATCTCTAGTTTGCTAACTGTAGGTAGTAACTAAGTGACTGTAACCTATCCACCGCTGCCCACTGGATGGGGCACGGTATGCAGGACAAACATATCAATTGTGACACTAGCTCTCCACATATGTCAGTTGCTTAATTTAGAAACTGTACTTGTGGTCGATCTCGAACCCATTTATAATGTGACGACTTATACTGAATTTTTAACTAGCTCATCAAGATTGTAATTTGCTTAGCTAAATGAATTGTGGGGTTCAGTCCCTGAGCCCATTATGTGCCTCTGTAACCCTTTCCACTACTCCCCACAAGATGGGTATGGGGTGCATAATAAATGAACTAAACTAAAAAAAAACTCTTATTTAATGGGATTCCAACATGGGATGGGATCCAGTTTAGGATGATGTTGAGTCCTTTGCCTTTAGGAAAGGACACCAAGATACAAAATTGTGGTAATTATCTCCACTTATTTTTTCCTAATACTGGAAGTGCAGCTTTTGAGTCTGTGTGTATGATTGCATTTCGAGTGTTTTGTGCAATCAAATATGTGAATGCCTGTTGTATGGCAAACAGCTCAGTTTGGGTTGATGATATTAGTCCTCACAGTCTACAATAGGCCTGTTTGCTGTCCTTGCAAAGAGCAGCACCAACACTCATATTCTGTGTCAACCGAACCTTCTGTGAAGATGTGGGTGGCTCCTGCTACTGCAATGCTGCTCACTTGCATTTCTATGATGCGCCTTTGGATTGTTGGATCATAGGCAGCCCTTTTCATCGGAAGACCTTCTGTTAATATTTTGAAGGTAGGCTCCTCTCATGGTGGGGGAACACGTGTAGTTTGGGTGTGGTCGATCACCTCTATCCAGAATCATGCTTTTGATAGTCTGTTTAAGACTTATCCCGCACTAGCAGCCCAAGAGTTACCATTGTTTCGGCAAAGTCCGACCACTAAGACCTGTAGTACTGGGACTGGATCAGGGAAAACATTTATCTTACTGATAATCGTAGCCATTCTTTGCAATATTCTTTCTTGAAAAAGGGGCAAACCCGTTTCCAGTCTTAGAGTTTCAAGCTTGGTTCACATAGGGGCTCCCAGGGCTGCTCTCATGGCATTGTTTTGTGCCATTTCAAGCTTTTTCCACTATTGTTGTGATAGGCTTGTGATTGCAGGTGCTGCATAGTCGATCACTGATATGACTGCCTGTACAAAGCATGTGCGAAGAATTTGCAGATTGGCTCCTCTAGAGAGGAAGGTTAGTGACAGGCAGAAGATTGCCCTCCGGGCCGCAATTCTCTCGCAAGTGACCTCAGCATTAAAATGTGTGTGTCCAGGATTATTCATAGATAATAGTAAATGTCCACCCATTCAGTTGGTTGTTGGGCTTTACTATTTTTATGGGCATGGCTTCTGTCTTGGTGGGGTTGAGTTTGATACCAATCTGCTTCTCTTCACTGATGCATCTAAGCATTTGGGTGCAAGGCGCGCTGCATCCCTCCCTTTTATGATGATGGCAAAGTCGTGCACATAGTTTAGCAGCCTGCAGTGTTGTGGGAGTTTCAACCTCATTATTCTATCAATTAAACAGTTGAAGAGAAGGGGGCTGAGGGGGGGGGCAGCACCTCCTTGCAGGTGTACCATTTTCATGGCTTTTGTATTCAGAGACTGCCATGAAATTTCACTCTTGCTTCTCATAAACAGAGACAGTTTTTGGTGATTATTCACAATAAGTGATTATTCTTGATAAAGAGGAAGGTACGGGTAAATAAACAAGGACTGGGGGTAAGGTGAGGAGCAGGTAAGAATAGGATGAGAGGTAAGAATGGGATGATGGCTAGAATAAGGGGAAGAAAAGTAAGAGGTAGGCTCAAATCAGATCACATTTGTCAAGAAGGTTGGAGCATTTAAGTATGTACTGTGAAAGGGAAGAGTCAACAGCAAGAAAGACAGAACTAAGGTTCAGGTTGGATATGTTGCTTATCAGAGCCGATGCAATAAGACGGCGTCTGTGAAGAGCAGAGGCAGGAAACATTATTTTAGAAGACCAATCTATAGGATGACTAGAGTCCCTAACATGACAGAAGAGAGCATTGTTTGTGTCTGTGGACTTAACGTTTCTTTTAACAATTAAGGAAGACAAACAATTGAGCTCGGACCTGCTGAAGGAAGACCATCGCTCTACCTTCCAGCCCAAGTGAGTGAAGCCAGGTTCAGTACAGTACATTAATTCCTGTTACGGTGATGTTTGATGATTTGTAAAAGGGTCTTGGGGATGAAGTATTCAATATAGTGTCCTTCAACACCCTCAGCAGTTAACACATGTGCTCATTCCGCCGGCTTCCTGTGCTCGTCAAAGCCACTAATGTTAGTAGCCCTCAGGTAAATTCAGGTAAATAGTTTATTATTTATTTATATACAAGAAGGTACATTGGGTTTGTGAGAATACATAGCATGGTATTTACAATCTTGTAAAGCCACTAGTACGCGCAGCGTTTCGGGCAGGTCCTTAATCTAACAGATAATTTTAAGTAGGTAAATTCTAGCGGAATTAATAAAATGATAAATGTTCTCACAGCTACCATCATGAGAGAGAACCCAGTGGTAAACCCTCAGGTAAACTTTCTCTCCAGTCTCTCTCTCTCCCATCGTCCTCCCCCATCCAGAGAGAACTTCCCCCAACTTCCCCCCGTCAACCGGAGGGCGCCGCCCCCCACGAGGGGACACCCCCGCCACCCGCCTCCACCCTGACCCCCCACCCTGACTCCCTGCCCCCCCCCCCCCCCCCCCCCCCCCCCCACCCCCGTCGCCGCCACTCCGCATGCGGGCCGCCACAAGAAGGGTGCCGGGGCCAGGCTGGTTACACCACCCCTTGAAATAACACACAACACCGGTCTGTATCCTGCTCACCTTGATTAGTTAAGACTACTGGAGTGTATCGCTGTGATCTGTGGTGTTGTGAGGGGCAGAGGAGGGTCCCTAGAGCCCCGGGGCGAGGAGCTCCTCCTCCTGCAGCTATAGTCTGCTGCAGCAGCCAGTCTGCCTTCACCCATATCCTGCAGGCTCTACTGCACTACGGCTTGTAACTCCTGCAGGAGACGACTCCGGAGCCACGAGATACAAGGAGTTGTTCAGTATTGTCCAAGTTAGTGCAACAGTTTATACAAGATGCCGTCACTCCATTACATCCCGTTATTTACTAGTTCTTTTTCCACCCAGAAGATTCTGTCAGAAAAACTGTCTTCATTTCCAACTTGTTCTCTTTAAGCTTGTTACACTGAATGGTAGAGTTAGTTTAGGTCACTAGGGCAGTTTACCACTGGGGCACCTCAAACCTAACCTAACCTAACCCCGAACCTATAACCTCAAACCCCAAACCTTATAAATATGTGAAGTGACAAACATATGAGGTTACATAGTCATTTTTGTTTAATAAGCTATCGAGATGTTTTGAACAATATTCTTTGGGCATTCATCTATTCCCACATGGTTGCACATTTTTGGGATACTATACATAGGTTGACCTATGAAGGTCAATCAGGTGGTGATTGACCTATTGATTGATGGCTGGTGTCCAATACACCAGCCATCTGATGTATTGGACACCAGACTCCAATATGGTGTCGGACACTTCCCGGGCAGACCGAGGTGTTTGGGCACATTTCCTTAGGCAGCAGTTGAGGGCTGCATCTTGAGGAAGGCCAGTCACCCCTAGACAATTTTAAAACACTTTCTGTCCCTAACAGTGGGAACCCGCATTGTATATGAGGCCTAGTGACCCTAGTGAGTGAGTGTCTGACACCATATTGGAATCTGACCCAAGTGTCAGTTCGGTCAAGACTATTCAGTTGTGGCTCGACTGCTGTCCACTGTGCTACAGTACACATGATTAGTTAGGCTAAGAAAAACACCAGGTGTTATAAAACACCTGGTGTTGTTCTTCAGCTATATCTTGCCCCTGTTAGGCCCCATTTGTATTATGCAGTTCAGTTTTGGTCGCTGTACTGTAGAATGGATATACAGTACAGTACTGTAAATTCACTAGAAAGCGTCTAGTGTATGATGAGGAAGTTAATCCCACATGTTATTGTTAACATCTGTTAATGATGATGTTAACGGATGACATTAATCCATTAACACAATTAACTGATTGTGTTAATCCGTTAATACAATTAATGGATTGCGTTAATCCGTTAATGCAATTAACTGATTGTGTTAATCCGTTAATACAATTAATGGATTGCGTTAATCCGCAAATTAGAAAACTCATGTGAAGAGACTGCCTCCAGATACGAGAATGAGACCTTCGAGAACAAAGATCTGAAATAGCATGGCAAGCAACAGCTACCAAAGAGAGGTGCTGAGAAACTATCACCTCAGGAAGGAGAGGAGAAAAAAGGAGAAGGGGGCATGGTAGCTAGGGGCCCATGGCAAATCCAAAGATTGGGCCAATTCAGCCTTCCAACACACAAGGCAGGTGGTGCAATAAAAGGACTTGAGCATGTATCTGTGCAAGACCCCATGTCCAGAGAGAGCAGGAGCAAACACGCAGTCATTGAGTGTGTAATGGTCAACACCTAATGCCACTGAAGTGTGAGGTGACTGTTGGCACAATCAAAAGCTGTGCCAAGTATGATGCAAGAACAAAGGATTGTCCGCTAGCCAAGAAGACTCCGGAATATCATAACACACTTGCTTGGCGTTTCGCAGTTTTGAAGATCCCAGATTCACCCTGGGCATGAAACACCAGAAGCGAAGAGGAGGACCTTGTCAGGAGATTGAAGGACCATTGCCAGAGAAGATAACTGGCAATGCAAGGGACAATGATGAGGGGAAGCACTCGTGGAAGGGAACCCTGAGCACATGCAGCTCTAAGTGCACTACTAACAAGGCTCGCAATACATGGCAGTATACAAAAAAAGCCACCTAGGCAAAAAAATAAAACCAAACACTTAACTGACACCGGAGCCTGCATGAAAGAGAGGTGATCCGGGAACCACTACAGCAGTCCTGTCATGACCACATCAGCATGAAAACTGACTGCTCAGACCCCAGAAGGTGGTGAGCCTCTTTTTTTTTCCCTACCCCCAAAAAGAGGGTTAGGTGAGGCGAATGAGCTCACGCTAGTTCCAAGAGATTTGATCATTTGATTACATAGTTGGGGAGTTCATTAGGCAGGTTTTGAGGCTTTGGTCTATTTTGAACCAAACAATGGTTTGTTTTGACTAGGTGACTTTCTGGAAAGGCAAGTACAGTAGATTTATTTTCAAGAGGAAGGGGTTTTAGTGAGATTTATAAGCAGACCTTTTTTTTTATGAAGGGAAGACAAAGCACAAATTTTTGAGTGTTGGAAATATGTGTACAATGTAAGAAAGTTGTTTTAGCCTGAGAGTTAGCACAATTTAGGAAGTGTGGGTTGGGTTATTTGTTTCAACCATGTTATTGTGACATTCTTTTCTTCTATCAAGTATTTCAACTTAACAAATGCTTTAAATTCTGGTTTAGAAGTCCTTTCAAAACTATTTATAATATTAAATTATATGCTAAAATTATTTATAATATTTTTATTGAGGCAACCTGGTAATTTCTGTATTGGAACAACCTTGTAAAGGAGCTTTACACACAGAGATCACACAAATGTGATGCATCAAATGAACAAATCCACAAGGGCCATGACGCAGGTTCGAATCCTCGTCACAGCCCTTGTGGATTTGTTCTTGTAAAGAAGTGTCGGCTCCAAAAAAAATAAAAAAAATATGAAGTTTCATGGTAAAGTTTGTCTTGATTATACTTTCAGACAACTGAGCAGTCTATCAAAATGAAGTGTCATTACGAGGTGCTTGGGGTCTCCCAGAAGGCCACAGACAGTGACCTCAAGAAAGCTTATCGCCAGATGGCTCTTGCTTGGCATCCAGGTGAGATTATTGTTTCCAGCTTTTGTGGAGTTCTAGTGAGGGACAAATGGCATCCATGTATCTAAATTCTTTCCATCTTTCCTTTACCTATAGCTATACTGAAGTCATTTTCTTTCTACTGCATTATCATTCATTGCACCTCATACGTTAATTAACTTTAATTTTTATTTTGTTTTAAATTTGCAGTGTGGTGTGATACCTGGAGACTGGAATCATATATCATCTTGCCCCATTCATACTGAGTAGTAATGAATATTCCTGTTGTAAATGGGCAATGTAGCCCCCCTTTCCCCTTTGTGGCAGGCTTTAGAAAATTAAGTTTAGGTGAGAGGCCAGAGAGATGATGACTTTGAACACACTTAAAAAAAACAACCTTTTTTGTTATAGTATTTTACTGACTATATAATTAAATGTAGGGGAAAGCTGGATATATTTTCTCCCATTGTTTGCCTATTTGGTGGCCTCAGTTTTGGACAAATCACGTTGGTCCATACTCCATTTTGTAGCCCTTGGCTTATGTTACAACTTATTTATAAATTACAGTATACTGTTATATGTTATAGAATTTGAGCAGCATATATATTAACAAAAATATAATTTTCATATAACTACTAAAAAAAAGTTTAACTCCACATTTAAATTCACATTAATCTGTTTCAAGTTCCACTAAGCTTGCTACAACGTTATGTTCCATTAGCTGTGCAGTCAGCACCTGCATATTGTGAATAAGGAAAAGTATGAGAGATACCCAGGGTTGGGGAGAGTTTTATTTTATTTATATATACAAGAGTACAGTACTTACATTCTTGTACAGCCACTAGCACGCGTAGTGTTTCGGGCAGGTCCTTAATCCTATGGTTCTCTGAATGCGACCTACCAAATCGTTTAACAACCAGGTACCCATTTTACTGTTGGGTAAACAGAGGCTATAGATGCCCAGTAAATGTTCCCCAACCAGGATATGAACCCAGGACAAAGCACTCACGAAACACCAGGCGAGTGTCTTACCACTACACTGCGGGGATTGACAATTTGGGGGCGGGGAGGGATTTTAACTATATCATCTCAATTTTTAATAATGTTCATAGGGGAAACAGCTTTTAAATGTCATACTATATATGACTGCATCCCTTCTACCCAGCTCAACCGTTTTTGATATAGTACTGTATAGTAAAGTTAGTTATATTTAATAGGCCCATCCAAATTTAATTGCTTACCACCAGCATTACTGCCTGTGAGAGTGAGGGCTGTCATAGGCAACCCTCACTGCTGCCATGTCCTGCCCACTGCCATGCTGTCTCGTCATAGTAATGCCCAGTTTAATACTGTATCTCACTGACATACATTGTGCTTATCCCCTATAAGCTAGTTTTTGTTAATGATGGTTTTATAGTTTATCATAAAAACATTGGAAATAGTGCTGTGAGAGTAGAGGAAGGTATTTGACGTGCAGCTAATAAGGAAAATATAATTCCTGTTGTTGGGAGCAGGAAGCCTGTGTATGTGCATGTATATATTTTAGGCTTGTATTCAGGTCCCCACTATGTTGAACTACTTATCTTCCCTAGGATGTAGCCTCACAACAGTTGCCTAACTCCTGGGTACCTACCAGTATTTATTGCTAGGTGGACAGAGGCATTAGATGAAAGGAAATGTGCTCGACCATTTTTGTCCTGCCGGGAAATTGTATTAGATGGAGAAGAATAGCCTCTTTTAATTGAGAGAAAATAGAATAAGTGTTTATAGAAAGAAGTTAGAAACTCATCGAGTTTTAATGCTGTAAATTAAATACTCATAACCTGTATGAGTGATGAACAAGTTAGGGGTCCTGGTAGTACAGTTGGGTTTGTTTCTCACAATCAAGAATTCCGGGTTTGAATCCCCGGTGTGACAGAAATGGTTGGGCGTGTTTTCTATCACCTAATGCCACTGTCTACCTAGCAGCAAGCAGATATCCAGGAGTTACATTCGGGGGGGTCTGTATTTCAACCTCAGGTTGGAGGGAGGGGGGACTTGATATAAGGCTAACATGTATAAATACAATCTGGTTGCCTGTCCTCCGACACAGTGAATTATTATTATTAAGTGGATTTCACTGAATAAAGTCTGGGAAGCCACCTTCATCCAAACTTTACAAGCCTATATGAAAAATATCTTGAACATCAGACAAAAAAAAAACCTGTACAAAAAAGGCTAGTAGACGGGCTGTAAAGTGCTGAACATAACTTTCCGATAATCATAGTTAAGTGAAGGCTGCTAGGTAAAAACCATAATACCACCACCATTCTAAAGGCTCCTGCATATAATACCAGCCTTGTGAAGCATAAGAGAATGTTCAGAGATTTGCTTCAAGACTGGTAAAAAAAAAAAAAAGGTTTGAGAATTGTTTTAAGGAATGATTATGAATGCTAGCCCTAATCATACTAGGAGGAGGGAGCAATACTGAGGGCCATAGATGAAGTGGATTGAGATTGTTTTCTAGATAAGGAAAGGTAGGGTGAGAGGACACGGTTGTAAATACAAACGAGTCAGAAAGCATACATAAATATTCTTTGCAGTGCAGGTAGCAATCAAATTGACCTTGAAGTAGAAATTGTGGAAGAAACTTTGATCAACAACTTTGAGAAAATATGATTTAGCATAAGAGCATCAGGTAGTGTAAAAGTACCAGGTACAATAGCTAGATCTCGCTCCCTGTAGACGACGTTAAGCACAGTACAGGTACTATTCTAAACTACAACAGCACTGAAAATCTCTACCTCTTCCCACTTGTTAAAACAGGTTGTGATGATCACACCAGCCTAAATTCATTATGTACACTGTACTGTACTCATATTCTTCATATTTACTGCAGCACATTGCACCCCCTGTACCCATTGCACCACTTTTTCACACGCATAATGTTATGACAGCGTGTGAATACCTCTCTTGATCATGTACACTTAAGATATATTGTTTTCTATGTAGTACAGTACTTGTTACTGCCGCAGCATCACTATGCACTTGGCAGATTTTATTCTACCTTACTTATATTTTCAGACAAGAATCCAGACAACATGGAAGAAGCAAAAGTTCAGTTTCAGTTAATTCAAGCTGCATACGATACTCTTTCTGACCCACAAGAGAGAGCCTTTTATGACCGCAATCGGGACAGCATTCTTAGAGGAAAAGGTATGATTGCTTTTTTATAATTAATCTCATATACTGTATTTACTTTGCATGTTCCAAAAGGCAGTTAACCACCGCACTGTGCAGATCACCTTGAGGCGCTAGATCGGGCGTGCGCACAGCGCCTCAGGGTGATCGTAGGTACAGTATACACTGTAGTGTAGGATTCAAAACTGGTGTGAGGTGACCTGAGTACGAAATGGATGCCTAAGGCCACACGGGGGTTTCTATAAGCCATTGCTCCTCATGCCTCTCTTGAGGGGGCCAGGTTCTGGCTCATAGTTCTCGTTAGGCAAGAACTCCGTGCACATTGACTGATGCCAGAAAGTTATACATATCCATTCAGCCTGGATAGCTCTGGGGAGCCTCCGGGACTTAAAATGGCTTTTCATTACATTCATCGCTGATTTCTTGCATATTTCGATCAGTCATTCATGGACCATCTCGTTGCAGAGATGAACCGATGCGCTCTGTAACTCATTGACTCTCAACTTGAGGGGAGAAGACCCCCTCAATTATAGACCTGTATCATTGACAAGTGTAATAGTCAAAATATTGGAAAAACTAAATTGGTAGAACACCTGGAAAGAAACGATGTGATATTGGACAGACAGTATGGTTTTCGATCTGGAAGATCCTGTGTATCGAATTTACTCAAGTTTCTATGATCGCACCACAGAAATTTTACAGGAAAGAGATGGTTGGGTTGACTGCATCTATCTGGACATAAAAAAGGCTTTCGACAGAGTTCCACATAAGAGGTTGTTCTCGAAACTGAAACATATTGGAGGGGTAACAGGTAAGCTTTTTAACATGGACGAAAAATTTCTAACTGGTAGAAAAATAAGGGCCGTAATCAGAGGCAATGTATCGGACTGGAGAAATGTCACAAGTGGAGTACCACAGGGTTCAGTTCTTGCACCGGTGATGTTCATTGTCTACATAAATGATCTGCCAGATGGAATACAGAATTATTTGAACATGTTTGCTTCTGATGCTACGATAATAGGAAGGATAAGAAACTTAGATGATTGTAATGCCTTTCAAGAAGACCTTGACAAAATAAGTATATGAAGCATCACTTGGCAAATGGAATTTAATGTGCATAAATGCCATGTTATGGAATGTGGAAAAGGAGAACATAATCCCCACACAACCTATAAATTATGTGGAAAATCTTTGAAGACTTCTGATAAAGAAAGAGATCTAGGGGTGGTTCTAGATAGAAAACTATCACCTGAGGACCACATATAGAACGTTGTGCGAGGAGCCGATGCTACGCTTTCTAACTTCAGAATTGCTTTTAAATATATGGATGGCGAAATACTAAAGAAATTGTTCACGACTTTTGTTAGGCTATAGCTAGAATATGCTGCGGTTGTATGTTACCCATATTTTAAGAAGCACATCAACAAACTGGAAAAGGTGCAAAGACATGCTACTAAGTGGCTCCCAAAACCAAAGGACAAGAACTACTGTACAAGGAGAGGTTAGAGGCATTAAATATGTCAAAACTAGAAGATAGAAGAAAAAGAGGCGATATGATCACTACATACAAAATAGTAACGGGAATCGATAAAATTGATAGGGAAGACTTCCCGAGACCTGGAACTTCAAGAACAAGAGGTCATAGATTTAAACTAACTAAACAAAGCAGCTGAGGAAATATAAGAAAATTCACTTAATCAAACAGAGTGGTAGAGGTTGGAACAAGTTAGGTGAGAAGATGGTAGAGGCCAAAACCGTCAGTACCAGTACTTTCAAAGAGTTATACGACAAAGAATGCTGGGTAGACGGGCCACCACGAGGGTAGCTCTCATGGTGAATGTCTTTCTGCTCTCCTGAGGTAAAAAGACATCCAATTAAATGACTTCTAGAACTGACAAACAAGAGTTACGTGGAGAGGTTAAAGGTGCTAAATATACCAAAGTGAGAAGATAGATGAAAAAGAGGTAATACTTTTGCATGATCACTACATGCAAAATAGTAACAGAAATTGAGAAAAGTGACAAAGAAGAATTCTTGAAATCTGCATCTTCAAGAAGAGGCCATAAATTCTAGCAACAGACTTGTATGCTAAGTTGGGGGTGATGCAGGCCAGAATTTTAATTTTTTCTTATTTTAAATAGAAAATAAAAATCTGTGTTTTGATGAATATTTCATATTGTTTGTATTACTGTTCAAATTATATAATTTATTGTTGAGTTATAGTTTTGAATACTAATTTTCTTTTTCCTTTTCAGCTTCAGGATCAGATCCTAAACCAGAAACTATAGACCTGTTTGAGTACTTTTCTTCACAGTGTTATTCGGGTTTCAGTGATTCAGAAAAAGGCTTCTACACTGTATACAGGTAATGTGCAAATTTTACTGATGTTTTATTATTAAATATTTCCTGCTTTGACAATGTATACTGTATGTACAATTTATATACTCTAACTCAGGTCTGGAATCTTCTGTCATACAAAGCCTATATTCTACTTAGTGAAGATTTCATCAGCCTGCACATTGATTTCATAAGGTCACATTTTTTGGAGTAGGATAGTACACTGCCTTGCCCCTAGTTCAACCTTTAAATATCCAATTATACCGATTATGTAGGTGCGTTCCCGACCATGCATCCTCCACCCTCCTAAGAAGTGCCAGACCAAACAGGCTGTAGTGGATATGTGGGCATGCATGCTGCTTTAACCTGTAGGACCAAACTCTTACAAGTCAAGCCTGGCCCTGGGCTGGGCTTGGGGAGTAGAACAACTCCCAGAACCCCATCCAGGTACAAGGCTCAGCCTAGTGCATGGATATTTCATAAATGATTTCAAGATAATTTTATATACACTGTAAAAGACCACTTGAAATGTGGTGAACAGGTAAGGGTGACATGATTGACGGGTAAAAGGAGAAGAGTTTGGAGTGACCAAAAGAGTTGTAGTAGATATGTGGGCCTGCGGGCCACCCCAAGGAATAGCCTGTCGGACCAAGGTCTCTCAAGTCAAGCAGTTGATGAGTCACAATAATGTGGCTAAAGATATGATGACCAAACGACACGTCAGAAAACTAAGAAACGATGACGTTTGGTCCGTCCTAGACTACAGTATTATCAAGTCTTAATTTTCTTGTGTGGTATGGTCAAGATATCACAAGTCAAGCCTGGCCCTGGGCCAGGCCTAGGGAATAGAACAACTCCCAGAACCCCCTACAGGCACAGTCGAGGTACAAGCACAGGTTTGACATGTACAGTATATGAATAAATTTGGGGTAGATATAAGTAGGAGATGTCACATACGGGGCAATAAGCTTTCTGCAGTTTCCTTAATTCTTATGGTTTTGCCAGAGAGCAACAAAATGGCATTATTTCTTTGACAGTGCATCACATTCACATGAAGCTCATCAAACAGCCTGTTGGACCAAGCTCTCAAGTCAACCCTGGTTCCAGAGTTGACTTGAGCTTGTTCCAGCTAGGCTTGGGAAGTAGAACTCCCAGAACCCCCATCCAGATGCAATCCTGGTACCTATTCATCTGAAGTCAGGGACTGGCTAGATTTCGTGTGGGTCATCTGTTACTGCCACCGGGTCTTTTCTTTTGGATTGAACCTGGCGTTCAGAATATATATCTGATAGATGTGGGTCATGGTGGCACAGCATATCTTTTGGGGACTGTGTCTTGGCCTTAATGACTGGCTGGTTTATGTGCCTGCCTTCAGACCACAGATCTGGTCTTTCCTAGTTGGGAAGGTTAAGGTTCCTTGTCAATTGTTTGTAATCCCAGTTAGTTCCATTGCAGGTTTAAGTGTAGCTGGGCCTGATCTGAGACTCCAGATTGGTTTTCCCGTCAGTCTTTGGTGGTGTTGAATTATTTGAACTCTTGCATCATTTTTGTGGTGGAGAGAGCTCCAGCCTGAATTTTGCCAGCATGGGTAAACCAGTGCAATAGCTGAATTTATTTATTCATAGTGCTGTACTTTAATGCATTTTTTTTCCCTCAGACAAGTGTTTGAGAAGATTGCTGCAAAGGACATGCAGTATATGAATGATGAGGAAGAAGAAATAATTATTCCAAACTTTGGCTGCAGCGACACTGATTTAGAGGTAATGATTAACAATGACTAACAATATTGTTTACAGAGTAAGTCACGATAACTTCATTGGAACAGATTATACACTAAACCCACACGTTAGCAGGAAAAGTGGCGATGTTTCAGCCCATTGCAGACCATTATCAAATTGAGACTGAAAATTGAGTTGCAGATCAAGAATGGGAGGCAAACAGAGAGTGGAGACATAACAGGCTGCATAAGTGGTAAGGAACCTGAAAATGGGTTTGATAAAGTCAAGTAAATAGAAAAGTGTTTACTTTGCTGACGTAAACAATGCTCACCTGTGTCATTACTTGAACTCTTACTGCCGACTTTCTTATAGGGCTGCTCTTTGGCTCGAGCTGCTCTTTGGCTCGAGCTGCTCTAGTTTTCATACTGCCTCTTTGTACCTCCTGACCCTAGTGTACTCATTTCTAGCCCTTCTTAGTACTTCCTTATTTGTCTTGGTACTCTACATTTTTTTTCCAACTCCTCTTGTTTTTGTCTAATGGCATCTATTTTGCAATAATACAATACTGTCTACATTTCTGGGCAGGCAAGTGCTCTTACCATATACATTTCATTTCTAATACTAATGTTCTTTCTTTTTGTCTTTGTCTTGCTATCTTTCTTTCTTTCTGTCTTTGTCTTTCTATCTTTCTTTTTGTCTTTGTCTTTCCTGACATGAACAATGCAAGCTCTGACATGACCTGTGAAAGCTCTGACGTGACCTGTGCTAAGCTCTAAAGTGACCTGTACGAGCACTGACGTGATCTGTGAAAGCTCTGACATGTCTTATGTGAGCTCTGACGTGACCTGTCTGAGGCTTTGTTGTGACTTATATTTTGGTTATTTAGAAGTAAACACTCAACGCTTTTCTTCTTACTATCTACAGGATGTGGCTGAGTTTTATGGTTACTGGTCAAGTTATTGCACATCGATGGATTTTCATTGGGCAGACGAGTATGATATCCGTGAGGCACAACGAATTGGGCGCTGGGCTGAGAAGGTGGGTACTGCTATTTACACAACAATAATTTGGATGATAAAACTATTTAATATTATACTGTACTGTAAACAAAATTGCCAACTTTTTAATTCTCTTGAATCAGATGACTATAGAGCTGGGAAGGTAAGCAGGGAAGGGAATTGTGGGATAAGGAGGCAGGAAGGTTTAAGTAGGGATTAGGATATAAGGTGTAGGGGTTTTGCTACAGGATAGTGAACCCAACCACTGTTCAGTGGTTCTGTTCATCTGTTGTTCAACTGTTCATCTTCAGTTTGGCATGGTTCAGCCATTATGGATAAAGTGCTAGTGCGCACACACACATGCACTGTTCATAATGGACACATTTGCTACAAATTGCAGAGCCCTGTTTTGAACTCCCTGTAACTCGAGCAGGTTGGATTTTTTGGCAAATTAAGTGGGGTGCACGGATTTTCTAAGAGTTCCTAATTAGCATTCTGCACAGGTGCAGTTTGGCATGCTCTAGGGCCTGACTGAAATGGCACAGTATTGCTAATTGTGCTTTGGCCATTGCTGCTTTCTTGTTTATATGTTCAGTGGAATTAGCAGTCTTGATATTTCATAGCCCAGGATTGTAGTGGAGTTCCATACTCTTACCAGTGTGCCTCCAATGTTGATGGCTCCACATGAACTAGCCCAGCAGCCTATTGAGCTGAGCTGCATTGATTTGGTATTGATTGATTTGTACTGATCTGTATTGATTTGGGGTTATTGGTATTATTGGAGTTTGCACTCTTCCCATCTTGCTGTGTTAGCTAGCTCTTGTTTTGCCTTGTTGATTACCTTTTGTTCCCTCCTTTGACCAGCTGGTGTCGATGTAGCATGAATAACATCATCGGCAAATTGGGTAATAATGGTGTCGTCGTATACAGGGAGGGGGACATCATTGACAAATACACAATATAGGATGAAGTGGAGTGGGCTCATGCATGCTCCTTGGGGCGACTCCTGGTGATGGGGTAAATGCTTCTGCTACCTTGTTGTTGAAGAGCAGAACAATCACCGTGTCCTTCAGAAGGTTGTTAAACAGTCTTAGGAAGATAAGGTAGTTGGTAAGGTAGTCAGTTTGAATGAGAGACCATTGTGCCAAATGTTGTTGATCTCTCTGGTTGCTATTATTGCAGTTTGCTTTTTCTTGCAAATACTGTCAGCTTCATCCTATATTATGTTAATAGCATGTTTAGTTGATCTCTTGATTATCTGTGTAGAGGTGGTGAGTTAACTACTACCATGTAGTAGTTAATTCAGTTTGATATTATTTTTTGTGCTTAATATTTGGTTTGGGTCTATTGTCAGCCCAAAGCATTTTGTTTGGGGCTATTGTTAGCCCAGAGCATTTGGTTTGGGACTATTTTCAGCCCAAAACATTTGGTTTGGGGCTATTGTCAGCGATAATTCTGTTCAGTCTTGCACAAAGACAGACTTTGCAGCTTGAAATTTTCCAGTAGGGTAGGGCCTAAGGTTTGCATTGATGAGGATAACTTGGATGTCTGGGGTTACGATTTTTATAATTTAGTCGTCATTCAACAGCACAACCGTTGCTCCATTGTTGGTTGGAAAAACATCTACGGGTGCAACTTCTGCATGTCTGCTCAGGGGCTATGGAAATTTCTTTTATTAGTTAATCTGTGATTTCCAATGAACTTACATTAATTTTGATCATCATTGTGAAGACATTGGTGACAAAAGGTTGTGGTTTATGATCAGGTGTGAGTTTTTAGTAGTTCAAAGATTCTTAACAGCACTTGAAGAGGGGACCTAACCTCTGTTGATAGACCTAGACCCTGCTACAAGGGTGAGAAGAAAGTTGCTCAGACTCTTGTTCCTCTAAATTTACTACTGATTGACCGTGGTCTCACGTAAGTCTGTTTGGGTAGCGAAATGAGCTTTTAAAAGTTTAGTTTAGTTTTAGTAAAGTTTAGAAAGATAGGGTGTTAGTATTATTAGGATAGTGCAAACGTGCAGCTGCAGGTGGTGGTGTGAGTGATAATGATTGGTGAGATGGAGTCTAGGTTGGGTTGGGCTGTGAATGGGTGGTGGGAAGGGGAGGGAGGTAGTAGTGTGGTGGTGAGGAGAAAGGTGATGGTGTGGGCTGGCACTGAGGTCAGGTCAGGTGAGTAGGCAGGTAAATCTTGCAGTAGCTTCAGCTACTGATCACTTCTACTTTCTTTCTACTTTATTTTCAATGAAGTCTCCTTCATATAACATACTATTTATTTGATATTACTCTATATCCTTGTCAGGAGCTTGTGATCACTTTGGGCAAATAGTCATGCATAATAAAAGGAAGATTGATTGATGTTATTGAGCTCCATTTCCATTTTTCTTAGAGAATCGAGAAGGATAATAACAAGGCTCGTCAAAAGGCTCGCAAGCAATTTAATGAAGAAGTCCGAGCACTAGTTGCATTTGTCCGCAAGAGAGATAAACGATGGATAGCGCGCAAGGTAAGAATATTTTTTATTTGTAAACCATTGTATAATAGTATATTTGAGAATAGTAGAAGGGGATAAATAAATAAAAGTAGCCATAAACATTGTGTCAGTTTGCTAGAGGGCCCAAATGGTGACTTCCTGTAGCTAGCCATACTGGAATAGCTCCACAGATGAGTCACGTCTTCCCTAGGAATCCTTAATAGCCTTCTGGAGACTGAGATTAGAGCCAGAATCTGGTTCACTGAGAGGCACAGGGAACCATTATGGTCACCCTCACAAAGGAAATATTCAGAAAGGCAGCGAAGCAAAATGGGATACTCTGAAGTTTAGTGGGGAAAAAGAAATGACTCCACAAATGACCTATCCAATAGTCAGTCCAAACCCAGTAATAGATCTCAACAACCACCCACCCCATGAAATAGATGCAGCAGTTGACAACATACACACCTGCATCAAAGCAGCAACTCTGGCCAACTATGACCTAACCAACACCAGAATAACAAGCTTTACACACCAACCAGGGAGATCAAACAAAAAATGTGGTCATATCAGTGGGAGTGTGTGAGGAGCATCCACATAGGTCACCCCTCTTTGTAAACAATACAAGCCCTCAGACATAAAGTTTGTCTGAAGCCTAACGTTCTTGCATAAGCATCACATCTGGGGAGCCTTTTCCAACCAGTATAGGAAAGAACCAGCCAATTTTTGGAGGAAAATTAACACCTTGGTTCGACCAACACTCCACTCTTCCATCTAGATTATACATAAACTGATGACAGTAATGACATATTGTGGCAAACCATATAAGTTGTATGAATACAAACAGTTTAAAATGTATGTACCGGTATGTATACAGGTAGTGATGAAAAATAAAGATGCAAGACTTGTCCAAGGCCTTGCATTCAAAGTTTGTACACTTTAAATCCTTTAACGAGGATCTATTGAAGGTCAAGTCTGGTGCCAGCAGCCAGAGTAATTCCCGGTCCACTAGCATATATTAACCCCTTAATATTAAAGTATTAATTTTAATATTAATTATTAAAATATTAATATTATTATTATTATAAATAATAATAATATTAATAAGTTATGGTAGTGTCTACTCAGACATAACAACATAGGATAAGTCTTTTGCACTCTCGTGAGTGCTTTGTCGAGGTCTGAGTATGCGGTTAGGGCGAGACTTACATCTCAATGTCTAAAGAGGCTGCTACCTGGGTTCCAATCCTCTTATCCTTCTTGTGGTATACACGGACTTCGTAAAGGCATTTGATAAATGTAACTATGGAGTGATAGCATACAAAATGAGGTCAGTGGGAATAACTGGTAAAGTAGGATGGTGGATATTCAATTTTATGTCGTACAAACCACAGAGTAGCAGTCAACCAAATAAAATTGAGTCCAAGCGCAGGTAAAAGCTCTGTACCTCATGGTAAAGTCCTTACACCACTGTTTTCCTGATTCTCATATCAGACATAGACAAAAAGTACAAGTCACAGCTTCGTATCGTGCTTTGCAGATGGCACAAAAATCAGCATGAAAATTAATTCCATTGAAGACATTGATAAACTACAAGCAGATATTAATAAAGTTTTTGACTGGGCAGCAGAAAATATCAATGATGTTTAACAGTGATAAATTCCAGGTACTCAGGTATGGTAAAAATGAGGTCCTTAAAATACAGGGTAGTACAAAACACAAACTAATATGCCCATAGAAGGAAAGCAGCATGTAAAGAATCTGGGAATTATGACGACTTAACGTTTAGGGAACATAACCAAACAAATATAGCATCAGCCAGGAAAGTGATAGGATGGATTATGAGAATCTTCAAATCCAGGGATCCCATCACATTGGTTGTACTATTCAAATCACTTGTGCTGTCCCATTTTGAGTTTCTAAACCTGAAGATTAACAAGTTTAAAACGTTCACAATTTGTAGTCTCATTCTGCTTCATTTCTCTCTCTGTGAAGCTGATAGTTGTCTGTTTTGCTTCGCTTCCTTTCTGTGTTTTTTCAGTGAGGGTGATAGTAAGACTCCCCTGCTTCCTGTGCCCCTGTGAGGACGCCAAGCTTTGGTCGCTCGTCTCCACTAGGCAACTGAAGACTTTTAGGGCTGATGTGTGTGATTAGCAAGGAGCTATCTCAGTGCAGCTGGCCACAGGGAGCCACCAAGGCCCACCCAGCATGAGGCTCTTCATTACATTCAGTGCTTGTTTTTTGTGATGTGTTAGAAGCATTTATATGTTGGTAGGATGTATTTCTAGAACTGATTCATAGATCTATAATTCACTGTTGACTATTAATTGTATTGTATTGAACATTCTTAGCCATTAGTTAAAAGGTTAACTCTTTTAATTGAACAATCCTCTCCTTTCCTCCCTGTTGTTTAAGGTTGGAGCATGACAGGTCATGTTGCAGGAGGTTTTATAGAGCTTATAAGAATTTATTGACAAAGTGATTATTATGTTAATAATTTTCCTGTCTCAAATTTAATCAGAAAATCATGGAAGCGAAGATTGCAGAAAATGCTCAGAAGCAAGAAGCATGTCAGCGCAGGCAGCGAGAAGCAAGGCAGATAATGATGAAAGAAGATGTAGAGCAAGAGAAGGCTAACTTGGCAGCCTATGAAGATGAGCTCAAGGTTCGTTCAAGTTAAAGGACATGTAAATGACCTTCACTACTGAATACTAAAATTCTTTGTATATTTTTTGCAGTCTGTAATGCATATAAAAGTTCATAAATTGCTCGCTTCTAGTGTCATAATGTATGCAAGTAGTCTATGATTTGCACAAGGGTTACAATCCTGTAAAATGTGTAAAGCAAAGAATCATGTTACAGTATAAAAAAACATTTATACAGTACCTAGGCTTGATTTTCTACATTCCTCCTGCATCATGAATTTATTAGTTTGTTAGAGCGAATAATTGTCTCGGCTTTTCCACGCAAGTAATTTGTAAATGGTATAATTTTTGCATACTGTACATTTGTTTATATTTTGCAGGCAATGCAGGAAAAGTTTGCAGAAGAGTGGGGATTGTCAGGAAGTGAGAGTAGTGAATATTTTGAAGAGGATGAAGAGGATATAAGCGAACTCTCAGAAAACAAAGCCCTTGAAAAGGATGAAGATAATTTTCAAGATGACTTGTATTGCGTGGCATGTAATAAATTTTTTAAGACAGAAAAATCGTAAGTACTGTACTGTATTGCTGAACAATTTTTTTTAAGTTCAGTGTAAGTAATTACTTGGCTTTTATCACTTGAAAATATTTTTGTAATACAGGATAACTTTTTCAGGTTCACTGTGCAGTGTCTCATGCATATCTGCCAGTTTACCTACTGTGTTCTTAGAAATATATACAATCAGGCAGCTGTGGCATGCATCACAATGCTATATGGAATTTTGAAGCATCTCTACAAGGGCACAATTTACTGAGTGAGGTATTTGAGAATATTCAATCCAGCACAGAAATGAAGTTCAAATGGCCTATCCAGACAAAATCTAAGACACTCCAAGCTCCTGCTTGTGATCATAAATTATTGGCAAGCAAGGGTGCTCACCAACTACCACTGGTGAGTGTGGCCCACCCCACCACTTGTCACCAGATGGCAGTACCTCACCCTAGTCACTGACTGACTGACACTGACACTTTACACTGACCCAAGCCAGCTCATATCCCAGACGTGTTTTGGTGTGTTGTCAGCAAGCTGATACTTGTCGAGTGCACTGTGTCATATTTTTCTGTTTTACTCTTATATTATGGGTATGCACTCACCCATTATGGGGAGCCGGTCGGCTGAGCGGACAGCACGCTAGACTTGTGATCCTGTGGTCCCAGGTTCGATCCCGAGCGCCGGCAAGAAACAATGGGCAGAGTTTCTTTCACCCTATGCCCCTGTTGCCTAGCAGTAAAATAGGTACCTGGGTGTTAGTCAGCTGTCACAGGCTGCTTCCTGGGGGTGGAGACCTGGTCGAGGACCGGGCCACGGGGACACTAAAGCCCCAAAATCATCTCAAGATAACCTCAAGGTAATTACACACACACACACACACACACACACACACACACACACACACACACACACACACACACACACACACACACACACACACACACACATCCCATAATGGGTGAGTGCATACCCATAATATAAGAGTAAAACAGAAAAATATGACACAGTGCACTCAACAAGTATCAGCTTGCTGACAACACAATTAGGTGAGTATATGTGTACATACATACTTTTTCCTTATACTGAGGTCCCCAAGGTTGAACTACTGACCCTACCCAGGATGCAACCCCCACAACAGTTTCCTAACTACCAGGTACCTATTTACTGCTGGGTGAAAAAAAAGTACCCAACCATTTGTTTTACCCAGGATTGAACCCAGTATGCCTGGATTATTCATGGCCCAGTTGAGAGTCGAGAATGAACCCATCTGTTCTAACAACATTGAATGAATTAGTAGTGTGCTGGTTAGATGTAATTATGGGTTCTTGATTAAGAACAATTGAATGAATTGTGAATTGAGGTTTCTAAATATTTGTAAGTGTCCAAATAAGATTAATGTTCAAGTCTTCTTTCCAGGATGGAAAGTCACCAAAGGTCTAAGAAACATAAAGAAAGTCTAGAGAGACTTAAAGCTGCCATGCTGGCTGACGATAAAGAATATTTTAAAGACGATAGTCAGGATTCCAAAGTCCTAAAAGATAATTCACAAAGTAAGTACAGTATTATGTACATATTTAGAACCTATAATTGTTTTTATTATCCATTTGATATACTGGCTTGTGGTAGTAAAGTGAACATGTGAAAGAACTGGCAGATGTGTTCATTAAGTGGCACAATAACATCAGGCATGCACATCACATCACATCTACCAGTCGCATCAGTTGCACGAGTTCATATGGTTCTTAGGGCCAGACCCCTGCAAAAGACATGCCATAGTGCCTTTCAGCTCTGTTATGTGATGTCATTACAAACACGTTGGCTCTGGGGTTTTGTGATCAGTTCTCATCAGGCTTCCCAGGGTTGGTGGTCGGGTCCATTGCTTCAGGTGCGCAGGTGTGTGGCAAGCATTATGGAGGATTCAGTTCCCTCCGTGATCCAGCTGCACCTTGACTGTTCCCCAGTGGTTCACTGCCTGAACCATTAATGGGTCTCTTCAGTCTTATTCCATGTGGTGCTAGACTCTGTGAGTGGCTCGTCTTCTGATTTCTTGGGGTTTAGCTCTCAGTGCAGTTCACAGGTTGGGTGTTTCCAGTGTCCTTGCTAATGATTTATCTCGGTTCCATCCCATCTTAATGCAGTGGACCATCAGCAGTGTCTTTCCAGTGGCTCTGCAAAACGTTTGGTTTCCCCAAGGTGGATCACATCATGTCAGCATAGAACTGGCGCCTTTCATCCTTTCATTTGTTGTGTCTGCAGGGAGCAATTTGTCACTACTGACATACCACCACTTCAGTTTTGGTGGACACTATGTTGATCAATCTCGTTGATCCCGTTTCTCAGGTTGTCTGCAGTGTCATCAAGACATCTCTGGTCTATCCCCAGGTTGATGATGGTCACAAATATGCTGCACTCGCAGTGGTCTTCTCTAATATGTATTGGTCTTGGGGATCTTGGCGAACTAACAGGGTCATGGCAGCCAGGTGTTCAGTAAATCTCTCTAGTCCTCTTTAGTATTGTGTTGCCCTGAGTCATGTTTCCTGGCCGTTAGTGTCTCCACTTCAACTTAGTGTCTCTTAGAGTTCATAAGATTAAGGTTCATTGCTATATTATCTGCTCCTGGACTGATCTGATAGCTGATGCTGGACTGTATTAGAAAACCTGGTGGCGACATTCGGTATTATCACGTTTTGCCTAGTCATGTGTGTGTACATTTTTTGTATTATATGGAGAGTTATTTGACAGTTTAGTTGTTTTTGAGTCTTGTGAACACAGCAGATATCTGTAAAGCTTCACTGACTTTCTGGATGCTTTCCCGCTGAAATGTCATTTGCTCCCTGCACCTTATGCGAAAGGGCCAAGTTTTGGCTCGGGTCCATGGGAGGCTAAATGAACTCGTGCAACTGGTGTGACTGGTAGATTGGACCAATCTCAGCGAGATTGTTACAGGAAGACACCAAAAAATGACATTTCATTACATTTAATGCTGGGTTTTTCTTTAAATTAGGTGATGATAATGATGCACAACAGACAAAAAGTTTAAAGAAAAAGAAGAAGAAGAAGAAAACTGGAAATACTGCTCTAACAGAAGAGCTTCCCAGTCCTGTTGACCCAAGCCCACTTGATAAGAGAAAGAAATCCAGAAAAAAGACTCGACAAGATATCTGTGAAATAGAAATAAAAGTCGGGAAGTCTGATAAATGCAGTGAAAGTGAAACTGAAAATGATGTTATAGTAATCAATGATCACAATGATGCAAGTAAACAAGCCAAGGAAATTCCTGTAAGTGTTAAGAGTGAAGAGACTGATTATATAAATTTAGAAAATTGTGAATCTGAATCAACACCCTCTGTCATTAACACCAAAAATGATGAGAGAACTAAATTGGAGTCAGATAGTGAAAATTCTAAGAAACCTGAAATAAAACCAAAGTTGAAAGGTAAAAAAGCTAAGGAAGCCAGGAAGCAGGCACGGGAAGCAAGCAACTGTGTTGAACCAGACATGTCGGTGAGTACACAAGTTTATCTAGTTTAGACAATTTTGAGCTTTGTATCTTATTCAGATTTTGGGTTGATGCCTCCCAACCCAATGACACTGGGAAATGGTAATGCTAGTGTGTTCATGATAGTGTGTTCATGATAGTGTGTTCATACAGTACCTTAATTTAGTGCCATTTGAATATCCAGTGACTTTGATGGTGCTACTGTACATAGTCTTCCTGCTTGGTGCCATCTTTTTGATAATTACTTATACCTCTGAATACTGTAGTGATTTTTTAGAATCATATTTGTTTTCCCAACATCCCTCAATAGAAGACTTGGGGAATCTGATGCCTTTTTCCTTGTCCCAGTATTGCCATCCCTAATGATTGCTATGAAACTTTGAACATTCTGTAACACTGATAAATAGCCTTCCTGGCTTGACACTGTTAATTATTTACACCTCGCCTATCATTATTCATCATGTTTATATGCTCATTGTACTGCCTCTGCTGCCTTCAACCTGGATTTGCTCCAGTACCTTGTACCCATTGTAGCAGCCTGTACTAATCACAGCATTGTTTGCATACTAGATATGACTACATGTATAAACCTACTATAATTGAAACACCTTTTTTTGTACATTTCATTCATTCATTCATTTGTCTTTGCTTTTTCAGGTAAATAAATGCACAGTGTGTGGAAGTATATATTCTTCTAAGAATAAATTGTTTACCCACATTAAAGCTGAAGGACATGCTGCATTCAAGACTCCGGGCAAAGAAGTAAAAGGGAAGATTAGAGCCAAGAAATAATAGTTATACTGTATATTGAATTTAGTTTTTAATAAATTATTTATTATATGGCAAGCTTTCTTGTTAAAGTAATTTATAGTTTATTTCCCCACTTTTAATTTCTTTGTTCCGAAAGAAAATATTAAATACCTATTATATCTATAAGTCAGTATTTCGGACCTTAACCCTCAAACCGCGCATATCATATATAAATGATATCAGTGACAAAACCGAAACCGCGCACATCATTTATATATGATTTCGTGTCTAGCGCTATAATTTAAACTCCCCGCCTGGGATAGGGGCAGCTATAGTACAGCCACGACCAATAGTTGCCAGATGCCACCTAGAAAAAAAATCCAGGCCAACATTCTTGGGTGTGAGAGCGTCAGTATTGAGCAAGCCACCAAGGCTGGCGCACGCAGCACGAGCTCTCAGCACCGCTGTTCAGCTTGTGACTACAGCATCGCCTACAAATACCATAATATATATGATACTGCTATTATTTAGCAGTGAGAGTATTACTGAAGCCCCCTGACTGATAAAACTGACCAGGATTCTGATAATAGCAGGATTGTGGTGATAATTAGCGCTGTGCTCCATGGAGGGAGGCGTAAGGCTGTGCGAGGGAGGGTTGTGGCGTCGTCTTCTGACTCTGTGGCCACCATTTATTGACTGCACTCACCATACCAGCTTAGTGGTTCGATATGGTGAACACAAATGTAGATACTTATATATAATATGTGTATATAGCATAATAACACCAAAAACAATATTGTTGAAGGACAAATATTAGTGCATCTGGCCTTGAGGGCGGCCGCCGATCAGCTGTGTGAGTAGCTACGTCTTTGTGGCCTTTACTCACCATACAAGCTTAGATGTACAGTTATGGTGAACAAAACATGTAAATACGTATATATAACGTCTGTGTATAGTGAATAAATACAGAAAGAGTATTGTAGGAGGTGAGTGAGGTGGTGTTGAGGGAGTGAGTGGCTCGCTGGTGTTTGGCGGTCACTCCTCGTTGCTTTTTGACTCACAAGACCAACTTAGTAGTTCGTTATGATGTACAAAACATGCAAATACTTATATATAACCTGTGTATATAGTGTAACAACAGCAAAACTATTTGTTTATTGTTTTATGAACATAATAATTGCATCACTAATATGCACACCATAATTTTGAGTACAGCGATGGTTCACACATTTTATAATATAAATATATCACAATTCACTGTATGGAATAATATTACTGTAAAAAAACTAAGAAAAAATCAATCAGAGACATTGAAATAATTAGGTAATAATATATTTGTGGCAACTGCCGTCTGACAGCTCGGGCGGAGTAGACCTCATCTGGCGAAGGCTCTGCCAACGCCCCTTTTTTGCCACACTTCCCTATCCTATTGTGGCTAAAATATGCCACCTACTATTTTTTTTGTTATTTTTTCCGTGATCAGGGAACAAAAATGAACACTTCTATAAGACGAAAGAATTTTTTGGATTTTTTTTTTTGTTGCGCCTGTGGGTGTGAATTCCATTTGGGCCCCTAGCGGTTTGAGGGTTAATTAAAAATTAACATCTACAAGATTTATATAAGTGAATTCAAATATTAGTCCTGTTGCATTTTGACACCTAGAATGGAATTTGACCAAACTTTGTAAAATGAAAGAGACTGTTAGGAAGTCATTGGCTATGAGCAAATTTAATATGAAGTGAAAATGTACACATTCAATATGCAACTCAAAAATCAGGGTGGCAGTACCCAATGGCCACAATATTAAAGAGCAACGCCAATTCAACATTGATTCCTCATGAAACCCATACCACTTGAATATTGTGGCCACTACCAGTGGGCACAATATTCAAGTACTTTACTAGCCTAGTTGTGCTTGTGGGGGTTCAGCTTTGGCTCTATGGTTGTCAATCAACTGGTGTACAGATTCTGGACCCTATTGGGATCTAATAAATCTACATTTGAAACTGTGTATGCAGTCTGCTTCCATCACATAACAAATAGAATGCATTAGTGAACTACCTGTTCTCTGACACCGAAAAATTCTTTCTAAAGTCTCTGTGGCTCATTTGGGTACTAAGTTTCCACCTGTGTCCCCTTGTTCATGTTTCACCCATGCTAAATAGTTTGTCTTTTGTAGGTGGTCACCATGTCTTCCCTTACTTTCCCGTCTTCCAGGGATGCGAGGTTTAGCTCCCGTATGTTGACCAGACCACACACACTAGAAAGTGAAGGGACGACAACGTTTCGGTCCGTCCTGGACCATTCTCAAGTCCCTTTGGGACTTCCCTGGTGACATTTCGCCACTGATGTCTCTTCCCCTTAGTTACTTGCCGTTTCCTGTTGCTTAGATACGCCCTTATGCATTGGAGTCCATTACCTTTTACTCCTGCCTGTGTCTCCAAGCTTTGTAACAGCCTTTTATGGGGTATTGTCAAAGGCTTTCTGACAGTCCAAGAAAATGCAGTCTGCTCAACATTCTTTTTCTTGCCTGGTCATAGAATTTTATTAAGTCTGTGAGGCACGATTTATCATCCCTGAACCCATGTTGGTGGTGTGTTACAAAAGCTCTTTTCCTCCAGATGTTCTATGAGCCCTTTCCTCATTTTCATCTCCATCACCTTGCATGGTATACAAGTTAGGGAAACTGGCCTGTAGGTCAATGCCTCTTGCCTGTCACCCTGTTTGTATATTGAGACTACATTAGCTGTCTTCCAGCTTTCCACTATGTCTTCTGTTTCCAGTGACCTGTTATACACCAGAGAGAATAGCACACTTAGTGCTTCTGCACCCTATTTTAGTATCCATGGTGAGATTCTGTCAGGCCCAACAGCCTTTTGTCACATTCAGCTCCAACAGATTCCTTTTGACATCACTGGTGGGTTTGTCACTGCCTCATTTAGTACAGGGACTTCTCCTTGCTCTATTGTGAATACCTCCCGGAATCTCTTGTTGCGTTCTTCACACACCACCTTGTCATTCTCTGTATCTGTTCTCCCCTTTTCTCAGTTTCATCACTTATTCCTTCACTGCTGTTTTCTTCCTGATGAGGTTGTGGAGCAGTTTTGGTTGGGTCTTTGCTTTACTCATGATGTAATTTTCATAATCTGTCTCTGCTTCTCTCTTCACTCTGAGGTACTCATTCCTGGCCCTCTGGTATATCTCCCTGCTCTCTGGTGTTCTGTTATTCCTGTAGTTTCTCCATATTCTTGTACTCAATTGCTTTGTTACCTTACATTCCTGATTAAACCATGGATTCTTCTGTTGCTTTTCATTTTTCTCTTTGGACTGGGATAAACCTGTTTGCAGCTTCCTGGTGGTGACGTCATATCTTATCAAAAACTAACTATATCATATCAAAAACCGCGCGAAAATCGCGCGGTTTTTGGCCGATAGCGGCAAAAATCGACCGACTTTCGCCGCTAGCGGCCAAAAAAGGGGCTATTTTTGCCGCTAGCAGTCAAAAATCTGGCGATTTTCGCCGCTTGCGGCCAAAAACCGTGCGATTTTCGCAGCTGGCTGGCAAAAATTGCGCGATTTTCGCCGCTACCGGCCAAAAATCGCGCGGTTTTCGCCGCTAGCGGCCAAAAACCGTGCGATTTTCGCAGCTGGCGGGCAAAAATCGCGCGATTTTCGCCGCTACCGGCCAAAAATCACGCGATTTTCGCAGCTGGCGGGCAAAAATCGCGCGATTTTCGCCGCTACCGGCCAAAAATCGCGCGATTTTTGCCGCTAGCGGCCAAAAACCGTGCGATTTTCGCAGGTGGCGAGCAAAAATCGCGCGATTTTCGCCGCTACCGGCTAAAAATCGCGCGATTTTCTCAGCTAGCGACAAAAAACCGCGCGATTTTCGCCAGTAGCGGGCAAAAATCGGGCGATTTTTCCCGCTAGCGGCGAAATTCGCTCGATTTTTGCCCGCTACCGGCGAAAGTCGGTCGATTTTTGCCGCTATTGGCCAAAAACCGCGCGATTTTCGCTGCTAGCGGCCAAAAACCGTGCGATTTTCGCCGCTAGCGGCCAAAAATCGCGCGATTTTCGCCGCTAGCGGCTAAAAACCGCGCGATTTTCGCCGCTACCGGCCAGTAGCGGGCAGAAATCGGGCGAATTTCGCCGCTGGAGGGCAAAAATCGGGCGATTTTCGCCGCTAGCGGCCAAAATCTCGCGAATTTTGCCCCCTAACGGCAAAATTCGCCAGATTTTTGGCCGCTAGCGGCGAAAATCGCCCGATTTTTGGACGCTACCGGTGAAAATCGCGCAATTTTTGGGCGCTAGCGGCGAAAATCGCACGGTTTTTGGCCAAAAAATCGGTCGATTTTTTTTGACCGGCAAAAATGGGTCGATTTTCGCCGCTTGCGGCCAAAAATCGTGCGAATTTCGCCACTAGCGCCAAAACTCGTGCGAATTTCGCCGCTAGCGGCCAAAAATCGTGAGAATTTCGCTGCTAGCGGTCAAAAATCGCGCGATTTACGCCGCTAGCGGCCGAAAACCATGCGATTTTCGCCGCTAGCGGCCAAAAATCGTGCGAATTTCGCCGCTAGCGGCCAAAAATCGCGCGATTTTCGCCGCTACCGGCCAAAAACCGTGCGATTTTCGTAGCTGGCGGGCAAAAATCGCGGGATTTTCGCCGCTACCGGCCAAAAACTGCGCGATTTCCGCATCTGGCGGCCAAAAACCGTGCAATTTTCGCCGCTAGCGGCCAAAAACCGTGCGATTTTCGCAGGTGGCGAGCAAAAATCGTGCGATTTTCGCTGCTACCGGCTAAAAATCGCGCAATTTTCTCCGCTAGCTGCAAAAAACCGCGCGATTTTCGCCAGTAGCGGCCAAAAATCGGGCGATTTTTCCCGCTAGCGGCGAAGATCGCCCGATTTTTGCCCGCTACCGGCGAAAATCGCGCGGTTTTTGGCCGCTGGCAGCGAAAATCTCGGGGTTTTTGGCCGCTAGCGGCGAAAATCGTGAAAATTTCGCCGCTAGCGGCCAAAAATCGCGCGATTTTCGCCGCTAGCGGCCAAAAACCATGCGATTTTCGCAGCTGGCGGGCAAAAATCGCGCGATTTTCGCCGCTACCGGCCAAAAAC